CGAGAGCTCCGCTCCAGAGAGGCCCAAAGCTGGACCCTCCTGACCTCCCAGCCACGGGGTCTGCCGTTTCTCCTGTTTCGTTCTCGTTTTCTATGGGGCCACGTGCCTGCCCGGGGAGCATGAGGCCTCACCGGGCAGCCACTCTGCAATGCACACACACACACACACACACCCACACACACACACACCTGCCACTCTCCAGGTCCAGGTCCAGGCGCCAAAGCTCGGTCGGCAACGCGGGCACAGCGCCTTCACCGGCACGCCAGCTGCTGGCCCTGCGGGCCGTTTTGGTTGTGCCAATTCTTGCCCGTGTTCACCTGGCTCCCTCGGCCTTCCTGTGTGCTCGGTCACGTCCTCCCAGGCAGAGGGACAGGCAGGTAGCACAGCGGGAAGCCTCGTTCGGGACACCATTCTCATCAAAGCACTGTGAGTAGGTGGGAGTTCGCAGCTCCACAGCGTCAGCGTCTCCCCTGCTTGCCCAAGATCTCCATATCTCACCCCAAGGTGAGGGCCAGATCCCGGGAGGAGGGAGGGCTGAGGACATCTCACCCCAAGGTGAGGGCCAGATCCCGGGAGGAGGGAGGGCTGAGGACAGGGACTGCTGCATGGCCCTTCCCTCCCTCTGGTGAGTGCACGTGCCCTCCGGCAAATTGGGGGGGGGCTGGTGTGTACGCCGTGTGAACACACCTCACGTGTGTGCCTGGGGCATTCGGCAGGGCTCAGACGTGAACCCGGAACCTTCCACATGGGTCAGCCTCGCGGAAGGTCACGCTCGCCACTGTACCATCGCCTGGTCTCGTTTTTTTTGTTTGTTTGTTTTGAGAGGTTTTTGCTACAGGGTGCATGCGCTCACCAGAAAGAAAGAGAGATAGAAAGCGAGAAATCACCCCCCAGGGGGGATGGTCACGCCGCAATCCCTTCTCCTCCAGTCTCCTCTGGGGATCTTGGGCACGCACACACACGCACCCAGTTTGAATTTAAACCCCCGGGTCCGGGACTTGAACTGCAGTAGACTACATGGGAGTCCAGCGACATAGCCATTACGTCAGCTGCTGGTCCCCTCCTAGTCTCATTTTAAACCACTTATTTGGAGACTTATTCCCCCTCCTGTTTTCCCTGTTCTGTTTGAAACCCACGTTATTCAGAGGTGAGGCCCGCATTTGTTCGGTAATTGCTTTAACCTTTGTCCTCCTACTTTTTTTTGTTTCTACTATGGGGTGCCTACACTGGGTAGAGACAGAGACAGAGACAGAGAGGCAAGAAATCGCTTCCAGGAGGGATACCACATTGCAGTCCCTTCTCCGCCCTCCTCTCGGGATTGTGGGCATGCACCCACACTGTGTTTTTCAAGCTGCTGGGTCTGGGACTTGGACTGCAGCCAGCCATGTGGGGTTCAGCACCACATTTGCCAGAGAGACAGAAAGTGAGAAACCACCCCCCCAGGGGGATGGCCACACCACAGCCCCTTCTCCTCCATTCTTCTCTAGGGACTTTGAGCACAGATGCACACACATGCGTTTTGAGCTGCCAGGTCCAGGACTCGAACCGCAGTCAATGTTTCTACTATGGGGTGCCTACACTGGGTAGAGACAGAGACAGAGACAGAGAGGCAAGAAATCGCTTCCAGGAGGGATACCACATTGCAGTCCCTTCTCCGCCCTCCTCTCGGGATTGTGGGCATGCACCCACACTGTGTTTTTCAAGCTGCTGGGTCTGGGACTTGGACTGCAGCCAGCCATGTGGGGTTCAGCACCACATTTGCCAGAGAGACAGAAAGTGAGAAACCACCCCCCCAGGGGGATGGCCACACCACAGCCCCTTCTCCTCCATTCTTCTCTAGGGACTTTGAGCACAGATGCACACACATGCGTTTTGAGCTGCCAGGTCCAGGACTCGAACCGCAGTCAACCATATGGGAGTCCAGCGACATAGCCACTATACAATATGCTGGTTCCCCTACACATGGGAGTTTTGAGCGCCGGGTCCAGGACTCCCGCGGTCAGCCACACTGGAGTCCCGCGATGTGACCGTTGCGCCACCTGCTGGTCCCACCCCGCTGTTTTCCTGCCTTCCCTTGAACAGGGCTTCATTTCGTATCATGTATTTTTACAATTTCAGTGGATTTTCTGGACTGAAGCCAGCAAAGCGGCACCAGGGCCACCTCAGATTTATCAGATCCCCTCCCCAAGCCATGGGGACACAGTGAGTGGCAAAATGTGGGTCTGGGTGGTGACATTCAGGGACCAGAGGGCCTCGGAGAAACTGCCGGGCCGGGCCGGGTGCTGGCTGGACGGCCGCAGTGAGGGCATGAGTGGGTGAGTGCGGGCTGGTGCACCTCGGGGCGTGGCCGAGGCAGCGTGCCTACTGTGCGCCAGGCGCCCACTGGGTGGCTCCTTGCAGCACTCCCAGCTCTCCGCTCCTCGGAAGGCCGACACGCCGAGCCTGGTGTGGTCCTGCCACAGAGCCTGTTCCTCCCTGAAACCAGCTTCTAATCCCCAGGACCCCCCAGGACTAGCTTGGCTGTCACTCTGCGAGTGGGGGGCCTCAGAGGGGTCCCTCAGGGCCCTGGGCTGGGGAGGATGGGAGCCCAGCCTGCGGGGTCCAGGCTGCTCGGCCCACCAGACAAGGGGCCCTGGGGGTTTCAAAGCCCCCCCAGCCGGTCGGACCCGGGTGGGGCGCTCAGGAGAGGTGTGCAGACCCACTGGCTGCATGTGAAGGGGCAAAGACAGAGGTGACCAGCCTCTCCCCAAGGCCACGGCAGAGAGCCAGGCAGGGGAGCAGTGGAGGACACCTTCTGGGTCCCCCTGGCGTCGTCACAGGACTCGAAGGCCTGTGGGGACAGCTGTGACCGCACATGCAGACAGGCTTTCCCGAGCAAGGCCGTGCCCCGGGAGCCCAGGGCTGTGATGTGCGGTGCAGGGGCTGGGGCAGCTGCCCACCCGAGGGGACTGTCACAGGCTGGGGGGCCAGGGTACCTGCTGGGGCAGCTGCCCACCCGAGGGGACTGTCACGGGCTGGGGGGCCGGGGTACCTTTTCCACCCACTCCCTGACCCCACAGCAACGCCAGGTGGACAGAACCAGAGAGTCCTGATGCCCCTCTGCACCATCCCTGTGTTCGCCCCGTCCTGTGTGTCTTCCCCGTTCCCGTGTATCCCCCCGTCCCCATGTGTCCCCCCATCCCGGTGTGTCTTCCCTGTCCCTGTGTGTCCGCAGTGACCCATCCGGGGATCCAGTCCCAGCTCGCTCTAGCTGAGACCAAGGCCCTGGGGAAGCAGAGTAACAGGAACAGGCGTCCGGGTGGGAGGGAGGCGCAGACCCGGCCTGTCGTGGGATACAGCGCAGCTTCCCCGGTCAGGGTGGAGGGAGGCCCGTCCCCCAGGGCAGCCCTGGAGGGCACGGCCACCCAGTCCTAGCGCAGGCCCAGAACCCAGGACTGTGTCTGTGGAGAGCGGCAGCCTGAGGAAACACGGTGTGGCCTTTACGCACAGGCAGGGCTGGCCTCCGTGGGCTTCCTGAGCAGTGGCCGGAGCACTCACGTGAAAACGCGCCCTGCCCGCTCCCTGCTGTCTGTACTCTGTCTGTACCGATAAAAGGAAGCCACGTGTGTTTATCGGATTTTGCCCCAAAAAGATGAGAGGAATTACTCGCCCAGCCGATTGACACCTTCGGACGATTTACACCCAAACAATGGCTTCGCGGTCCCTCTCCTCCCCACCCCTGCATTCCATCTCCTCTTCCCCCATTTTCCGCCCTCCGGGCCCATTCGGGGTCGCAGCTTCTCCACCCGAGAGGCTGAACCCACGGATCCTCGCTTTTCGATGCTTGTGTGTCTGTGTGTGCGCTGTCGCCGCGGTTTCTAATCCGCAGCCTTCCCCACTCAGAGAAACGTGTCTGTCCTCCCTCTCGGCCTGTGCTCCAAAGCGGCCCTGGAGGTTCCCAGAAGTGACGCCCTGGTCCTCTGGCCACCGTGAGAGCTGACAGGCCACCTGAGCACATGGGAGGTGGCACCCACAGGGTTTCCCGACAGGCTGGCTCAGTGTAGGGAGGGCCCTGTCCCACCGCAGGTGAGCAGGTGCGTGGCCCAGGCCAGCTGCCTGTGCTGGGCAGGAGCTCGGAGCCCAGAGCGGCCCTGGGCACGGGGAGGAGGCCCTGGGGGCGGGGCCTGGGCTGGAGCTGCACCCCCTCTGGCTCTGCCACCTCGTTGGGGGGACCTCGGTTTGGAGCTGGAAGCCCTGGCCTCCTGGGTTGTTAGGGTTGCCGTTCTCTCTGCCTCCTGCCGGAACCTGGAGCTCCACTGTGTCACAGTTCCAGGGCCCGTCCCAGGAGCACTCAGACAGCGACTGCAATGAGCCACCCACGTCCCAACAGCTCTCTGAGGTGAAACGCTGTGCTCGGGTGCCAGACCAGGGCTTGAAAGTCACGCTGGGTGTGCGTGCGTGTCTGCCCCAAATCTCAGAGAGCAGGGTAGGGATTTGGGGTGGCCATCCCCCTGGATGGGTGATTCCCACTTTCCTCCTGTCTGTCTCTCTCTGGTGAGGACACACGTCCTACAGCAGAAGAAAGAGCAGGTCATTTTCTCCTGGGAAGGCCTTCGCAAACCACACCCCTCCTCCCCTCCTGGCTTTCCCAATTCCTCTTGGCGCCGGGCTCGGAAACAGCGCCTGCAGCGCCATGAAAGCACAGTAAACACCTCCCAGGGCCACCCTGCCACTCCTCGGCCTGGTCTCTGCTGGTTCCCACCAGGCCCCTGTCCTGTCACCACTTTCTGCCTAACCATCAGACCCCAAATGTGCTCCGTTAAATATTAACGAACATCTTTAATACATGAAGCATTCATGCGGAATGATTACAAAACATACCACCGAGGCCCAAGGATAAACGGCCCAGGAACACACGTGTGCATATATACACGCACACACGTGTGCGTATACACATGCACACGCGCCCTGGCCAGCCCGGCTTCCAACGGTCACAACGGTTTTCGTAAAACAACGTGGGAGACGTGTCTACTGTGGCTGTTTATTATGTTTACAAGTCTACAAATCTGAGTTTTTAAGAAAGATTCACAAAATATTTGTTTGAAACCACATATGGCTCATCAAATTTCCAATATGTTTTACTGTGCTGATCAATATATTCTAATGCTGTCTAAAACACAGCCAAAGGATTTGTCTTTATTCTCTTACCCACATATTCTGTAAATTTTGAAAACCAAGATTTAGATAGAAAAAATACCAACAAACCCCCAATTACATTGAAATTTTCCCATATGCTGAACTATCTTCCGGGCGGTATCTTCCCCTTACTCAGTTTCAATTCTACACCATCGATTGCTACACGCGCTTGGAGGGTGCTCTCTTACATTTCTCATAAATTCAAACAGCAACACCTTGTCAAAGATAAAATTAACCCCCTGGGCAATGTGGAAGCTTAGGTTTGTTAAGAGCACTCACTGAAAACATTGTTAAACTTAGAGCTGATGTAAACAAACGATCTACAAAGGGACAGAGACGCCCACGTCTGAAATCACCTCGCTGCGTGGAAGGGGATGAGGCGTCAAGGTGGACGCCAGCGCTCTTGGTCTTTCCTTTTACTCTTTGCTCCTTTTAAAGAAACGTGCGTGCCGTGGGTTTTGTCCCTCCTGGCCGGTCTCGGTCCGCGGGCCCTGGCAGCCTGGGCCCCTGCCCAGGTGAGGCTGGCAGTCCAAACAGAGGCCGCAGGAGCCCAGCCCAGGTCCAGCCGCAGGACAAACGGAGCCAGGAGGATGAAGCGGAGGCTGTGCCGAAGGCGGGCGGGGGCAGGCAGCCACGGCACAGGAGCCACAACAAAGCTTCTACCACGTCGAACAGGAGGATTTCTCGAAGGAAACAGTAAAAACCAGAGAATATATATATCATGAAAAAGTAGCCTGACAATCTGCAAAAGCCGTCCGGTCTGGGTCGCAGCCCATGACATGGCCACTGGTTCACTTCAAGGGCTTTCTGGAGATGTGCGTCGCGACGTCCACGTTAAGAACCATAGCGATCCTAGAGGGAGCCAAGGGGGGGTTACCCACTCTGCCTCGGGCCTCGCCGGCACGCCGCCTGTCAGCACCCCGAGTGGCACTGCAGTCAGACGGCGCACCAAGTGCTCGGCGTCGGCAGCGACATGCAGCCCCAGGTGTGAATAGCTGGAGGCAGCATCGCTGCAGCGTCCTCACCCGGGACAGCACCTGGGCCTCGAATCCACCCGGACTCACACCCTGCCTATGGCACCAGGGGGTTGGTGCTTCCCGGCACGGTGAAGACAGGAGCAGAGGGCCTGGCGGGCGGAGGGAGCGTGGCAAGGCCAAGGCCGCGCTGAGCCCTGTGGGGAGCAGGTGTGGGGCGGGGGAGGGGCAGGGAGGATGAGGAGCAGCAGGTCTGAGACCCTGACATTTTGGCTCAGCAAGTGACTTGAGCTCTTCGTGTCCGTGTTTCTGCCTATAAAAGGGGACTTAGAGGGGAGCAATCTACAAAAGAGGGTGCTATCCCCTACGATAGGGACGGATGGCATGGATTCGGATGGGACTCAGCCGGCCTCGGGACACAGCTCTGTGGAGTCTACGTAAAGGGCCGACAAAGGGGAAGCTGAGCCGCTCACAGCAGTGACACTGACGCCCAGGTCCCTGTCTAAGGGAGCTCTCCCAGTGGGACGGGCCCCCACACTTTCCCAGCCGTAGCACGGCAGCATCTGCCTGGGGACCGGGGCCTCCCCGAGAGCTCACGCCCACACCTGAAGCCCTGTCCTTTGGGCATGCCTCCATCACCCAGAGGATCATTCCAAAATAGGCTGACCTGAACGGGAGGTCCAGGCAGCCCTCTGCACAGGGAAGGCCTTAGCCATCACATACAGGCCAGGCCCACCCCGCCTTATTCACAAAGCGAGAATGGAACCCAGATGCCCCGCCTGGGGAGCAGTAAACAGCTGCGTCTTTGCACTCAGTGGAGTGTGGTGTCGGGAATGTCTAACTACACAGAGCTGCTCACGATCCGGCATCACGGGACAGCTGCTGGAGCCCACAGGGCCAACTGCAGTTCAAGTCCCAGACCTGATGGCTTGAAAAACAATGCTGGGCACATGTGCATGTGTGCCCAAAATCCTGAAGTGGAGAGATGAAGGAGAGGGGACTGTGGCACGGCTACACCCCTGCAAGGTGCTCTCTCACCTTCCCTCTCTCTCACTCTGTCTCTGGTGGGCACACCTGCCCTACGGCAAGATATATATATGTTGGCTATAAACCATCTATGGAATACCATCTCCCCCTTGAAAATTTGGGAGGGAGTGTTGCCAGATAGGGACGGGGTGGGGGAGGAGCAAGAAAGTGCCTCACGGGGACCAGCAGTTGGCGTAATGGCTATGTCGCTGGACTCTCATGACTGCGGTTTGAGTCCTGGACCCGGTGGCTTAAACTCACACCAGGCACATATGCATGTGTGCCCAAGATCCCGAGAGGAGAATGGAGGAGAAGAGATTGCGGTATGGCCATCCCCCCCCCAGGTGGTGACTTCTCGCTTTCTGTCTCTCTGTCTCTCTCTGTCTTTCTGGCGAGCGCACATGCTCTATAGCAAAAAAAAAAAAAAAAACCCTCTCCCCCCAAAAAAAGAAAAAAGAAAGCGCCCCACGGGGGACCACGCCACAACCCTCCTCCTCCTGTCAGGATCTTGGGGGCACACTCATACATGCCTGGTGAGCTTTTTAAAACGCTGGGGCTGGGACTTGAACCCCGCAGTCGGCCATGTGGTATCCAGCTACTGTAACCAGTCCTTTGTAGTTTTACAAAGATTTGCATAGAAATCTAGAACTGCAATGAGAAGTACCAGAATATTAAGAGAACTTACCCCTGTGAGCTGGGATTATGGAACATGTTCATTTCCTTAATACCCCTGTTCCAGTCTAGGAGAAACTGGGCAGCAATCATACTACATGATTCCTAACGGCTCCCTATCAAAACCAGAAAACTCCAAACCAACATGAAATTCCGTCTCTGTTCCCATCAGGTCAGACGTGACAGTCACCCAATACAACGTACCGTCCAGCAGCTGGGCAGGACCGTAAGCACGCCCCCACCCTGCAGCCGTTGGGAGCACCACCGCACTGACCTGAATCGACGTCATGACCCCGTTAGCAAAGACGGAGAGCTTCCCGGCGACGGACCGCACTCCCTGCTTGAACTGCGCCACGTCGGGGGCGCTGGGCAGCATGCTGGCAAAGCCGGAGTTTCCTACACAGGGCAGAGGCTGGCGTCACTGGCCAGGCTGGAGAGACCCCGATGCTGGCTCTTGCCAGCAGCAGCTGCTATTGAGGGGCAGGAACCTGCCGTGGGTGAGGCCTCGGGTCGAAGGCTAGCCCCCAGTGAGCCAGCAGGGAGAGATGTAGCAGGGGGCTCAGTCCATCATGTGCTCAAAGCCTGGCATAGCCCTCCTTGTGCTGTGTGATTCGGGGGAGGTTCCTTATCCTCTCTGGGCCTGTTTCCTTCAGGTGTTAAATGCTGGGCCCGCAGGTAAGGACTCAGCAGAGGGAGGATGGCAGACACGTAGGTTTGGGTTGACTCAGTAACCCTTCCCTCTTCTGTCAGTAAAAGCCTCCTCCTTCCACCTGAGTCCCCTCTCTTCCCTCCCCCGTAGGAGAGCACACACCAGGCCTCACCAATCAGAGCCTTCCCTGGGACTCACGTATGGAGTCTGGTCTGCTCTGGACTGCGGCTGTGTGTGACTGGCCCGAGGGAAGGAGCAGGCCTGTCACGGAACTGGGGAGCTGGGCCTGGCGGGCAGGTCTGTCTGTGCTGCCCACTGGGCCTGGCGGGCGGGTCTGTCTGTGCTGCCCGCTGGGCCTGGCACAACCTCTTTGGGTGGTCTTGCCGAGGAGAGCCCACATGCCCACCTCTGTGGCTGGTGCTGGTGGGTCCCTGCTGCCCCAGCTAAGCTACCATCACAGCGCCCATGCAGGGCAGCGTGCTGTGCGTCACAGGCAGAGGGGTCTGGCTGCCCTGCAGTGCACCGGCGACAGCGTGAGCACCATCACGCCGCTGCTGTGGACGTCGGAGGGGCTCGGCACCTGAAGGTCCCCATGGGTGCCATGGCCAGCAACCTGAGACCCCATGTGAGACTGTCTACACCACCTACCCCTACGCCACAGAAAACCTAGGCTGGGTCTCTTCCAGGAACCAAACAGAACGGACAGAGCCCACGGGAGGAGATGCAGTATTGACATGCCCACCGGGGGCCTGCCGCCCTCACGCCGCCCCCATGCCGCCGGCTGATTGGGCAGTTTCCCAGGCGTCTGCCAACAGTAGGATGCAGCCTGTACAGCGTCCTCCAAGGGCAGCCCGGGGCAGGCTGGGGCCAGGCGGGGGCAGACAGCACAAGCACACAGAGACGGCAGTGCCAGGCTGCTTCCTCAGGAAGCGTGGCCTTGCCCGGCCCCAGCAGGTGGGTCAGGCTCCAACCTCCACTCTGTCCCCATGACACCCAGAGAGCCTGGCACCGAGGACGCTGCCGGCTGGGAGGGCAGACAGGTGGCTGATAACCTCCCCGACATGTCACCTGCGTCTGCAGGGGACCCAGAGTGAACCCAGGTGGGCAGCTGGGAGGGGCACAGCGTCAGTGAGTGAGATCAGGGTGGGTGGGCCGAGCACCGGCTGGGCATGGCCATGGCACACTGACCGCCTTCGGAGGCCAGGACGGCGCGAGGTCCAAGATGGCCCCAGGTTTCTGGCTCAAGCAGCTTGAAGACGGAGGCTCACCTCCCTGAGGGGAAGCCCCGCCACGGCCATGGGGACAGGCAAGGTGACACACTCAGCGCCTGCCAAGGTGCTTCCTTAGCTTCTACATGGTGACACACGCACCGGCAACAGAGCACAAGGCCGCATGGCCTGGTGCTGGGGGAGGGGTGTGGCTCTGCCGCCGGCTGTGCAGGGCCTCCCCGCTCGGCCTGTCCCGGGGCTCGGCCTGTCCCGGGCATGCAGGATTCAAAGGATCAGAGTGGGTTTCCCGGAAGGACACGAGAGGGCATGCTGGTCCAGGCTCCTTTTGTGCAAGCTCCTCTCCCTAAGCCACCTCTGCTCAGTCATCTGGTGCCCTGGGCAGCCCCCACTGCCCGAGACAGCCCAGCTGAAGGCAGCCCTGCCTCCTGATGGCTGCGGGCACCCGAAGGGGTTTCTCACTTAGTCCTTAAAGGGGCGGATCCTCCAAGGACTCCACAGCTAAACCAGCTCCCCAGAAAGCATCTTACTTCACTTCAAATCTGCAGCCCCCTTCTTTTTTCCTTTTTTTTGGTAAGTTTTTGCCATAGGACTTATGCACTTGCCAGAGAGAGACAGAAAAAGACAGAGGGAAAATGAGGACTCGGCCCCCCGGGACGATGGCCACACTGCAATCCCTTCTCTTCCTGGGCTTCTGGGCATGCATGCACACATGCCCAGCATGATTTTCGGGTCGCCAGGTCTGGGGCTCAACTGCAGTAGGCCACGTGGGAGTCCAGCACCTTGAGCCATGCCACCTGCTGGTCCCCGGAGCCTTCTTTCTTTCCTTCTCCTCGGGGTGCCTGTCTAAGTGCGGACCAGGCTCTACCTGTGACGCGGGACTTTCACACTCCAGGATAAAGAACACGGAGCGGTGTCTTAAACTGGCTTCGGGGGCCAGCACGTGGCATGGTGGTTAGGTACTGGACTCCTACACAGCCAGCTGCAGTCTGAGTCCCGAACCCAGTGGCATGAAAATCACAACAAGTAGATAAATACATGTAGGTATGTGCGTTAATAACAAATGGCCTGGCTTCAGCTCTTTGCTGAAATTCTCTCTAAATAAAAAGTGAATGTTTGGTACGAGTTGCTCAAAGCTTAGCTTTAGGGCAGTTATTTATTTATGTATATTTTAAAGAATTACTTTAGTTTTATTAATCATTACTATTTTAAAAATTTGATCAGAGAGACAGACAGAGAGAGAGAGAGAGGGAAAGTGAGAAAGCAAGCCACCAGGTCTGGGACTTGAACTGCAGGCAGCCCTGTGAGAGCCAGTGTTAACCACCACCGCACCTGCTGGTCCCACAGCAGCAGTTATTCAAGGCATTTTAGGATGGGTCTGATGGCGATGAAGAAAGGGGGTGGAGCGGCCAGCAGGGGTTCAGTGGTGGACCTCACGGTGACAGCCAGGTGCCATGGACCAGCCTGCCTAGGACCCACAGAGGGAGGAACATTATCGGGCCTTTGTTCTGTGAAGGGACAGGAAGGTAAACATGGGCGGGCCGTGGTGTCCCCTAACAACTGGAAAGGCTGCTTTCATTTGATCTCCAAAAGCTTTTTAACAAACTCCAGTTCCGAGTAAGGAGTAGGAGTAGCAACCTGCAGAACAAAAGCGCACTGCTAGGGTGGGGCTGACACGTAGGCTCTGCCCTGACCTGTGCTGCCCCTGCCTCCCGCAGGCGACCAGCTGCTGCAGTCGACAGGGCAGGCCTTCCCGAAGGAAGCCGCCTGATGAAAGGGGGTGGGAGTCCAAGCCCAGGAGCCCATCTGCCCCACCGAGACTCACTCGGCGCTGGGGGTGCCCATCAGAGAGCAACTGACCAAGGGAGCCAGCGGCTCTGCCAGATGTCAGAGGGCGAGGTGCACGCCAGCTGCCCAGTCCCCGTTCCAGCACAGTGCCCCGACGTGCTGGCAGTGCCTGCCTGGCCTGGTTCCCACCGGGGTCCATCCTGCCAGCTACACCCGGGCTGGCAGGCTCCACATGGCTAAACAACCTTCCCACAGGAGCACGGTACCTGGTGGTGCTCCTGCCCAAGGGCCAGGGGTTCTAACGTTGCCTGGAGTACAGACAGGGGCTGGGACCATCCCCACACAAGCCATTCCACTGGGTCTCAGAACACTGTTCTCTGTGGCTGCAGGCCCAGGGGTGGCCACCCTTGCAGGAAGGCTCCGGCCTTCTTAGATCAACACCCAGCCCTCCAGGGCTTTCGAGGTCTGGCTCCTGAGGTGCCCCCCCATCCTCTTGCTGGTCCGTGGGCTCCTGAAATGACCTCAGGGCGTGCCGCTCCTCTACTGTGTACCAGGCGCCCCTGACTCTCTGGGGCAGAGGGTGGAGCAGTTCCAGAGGGCTGCGAGGCTCCCCCGTCTGGGCTCATGGGCTGTGTCCCCCTAGCCCAGTCCCTGTCCTGGGAAGATCACCCACCTCCTCCCTGGGAGCTGGGCCCCGAACGGAGAGGGAGGAGACAGGCACTTCCGCCCCACCTGCCCCCCACCCCGCCCCGCTGCATCTGTCCTCCCTGCAAGGCGGACACTGCCGGCCTCTATCTGCCGCTGCCAACCTGGGGCCTGCTTAGGTCAGACACCGGGTGGCATGCCACACGGTCTCTCATTTAAGCCCTACTACAACTAGGAGGTAGGGTCACCCACCCACTTCACAGAGACCGAGGCTCACAGCGCCAGAACACACCAAGGTCTCCTAGCCAGGGAGCGGCTGGTGCCACCGGAGCCCAGGGCTGTCCACCCCAAGGCTAGGAGTCAGTTCACACCCCGCTGGGAAATGCTGTCTGACGGTGTTTCCGGAACATGATCTGCCAGATGACGTGGGGACTGCAGCTCATGTCAGACTCTGTCAGACTCGGTCTGTCACGTGTGGACCCTGCCTCCCTGTGCCACACCGGAGCTAATGTCGGGTAATGGCTGCTAACTCCCCAGGGAACAGGAAGTCCTGCCTGGCGAAGCTGCTGTGCGCGCCCTGAGGCCCATCGTCCCTGCCTCACCTGCGGCCGGCTTCCTCTGCTCGTCAAACAGGTCCGCTGAGCTGATGGAGGAACTTGCCGACAGCCCCTCCAGCCGGGCCCTGGTTTCATACTGGGGGAGAGAGAAGGGGGCCGTGAGGCTCGGAAAACTGGCTGCCCTACAGGGTCACAGGGCCCTGTGGCACGAATGCGCATGTGCCTTGCCCCCCAGCTCCCAGGTGCCAGGAAGCTTGGTTCTGCAGGGGAGGCTGGTCTTGGTGGTCCAAGTGAGGGCACCTGAGCAGAGGCGAGCACTGCGGCTCCTCCCCCTCGGACAAGCCCCCTCCGACACCCACCACACCCGTCACAGCTGAGCTGGGGGCCATCAGCCTCCACACAAGGCCGGTTTGAGCTGGGGGCCATCAGCTCCCACACGAGGCCAGTTTGGGGCGGGAGGTGGGGGCTGGAGGGGCAGATGGCCAACAGGCCACTCTCCTCCCGAGATGAGGGTACGCGTTCTGCCATGCGGTGGAATCGACACGCTGTGGGGGCTCGCCCTGGTCCTGCAGCCCTAGCGTTCGTAGTAACAGACCCCGCACAGCTGCCCGCACTTCAGACTGCAGGAAACGCTCGGCCCGCCTGCAGCCGAGCCTCACCGCTCAGCAACAGCCCGGAAACGGACCTGTCGCCCCACAGACACATCGGTGCACCTCACTTAACTACGGTCAAACATCAAACCGGGAGCCGCTGTATGGAAAACGGTCTGAAATTTATCCACAAGACATTGAACAAGGGCTATTCAGAACATGGGGAGGTGGGCGGGATGGTCCCGTACCCTAGGGCTTAAGGAAGCCGGATCCTGCATGGCTGACTGCAGTTTAAATCCTGGCCCCAGGGGCTTGAAAAACACGTGGGTATGTGTGCATGCATGCCCCAGATTCTAGCGGGGTGAATGCAGGAGAAGGGACCCCGCCCACTGGGGGCGGTGCTCCCTCTCTCTGGCGAGCATGCGCACTCTCTGACTTACAAACAGGACGCAACAGGAATCTGAGAAGCAGGAGACGGAGTTCCTGCTTTCCCGGCACTCCTGTGCAGGCCAAGCCAGCCCAGGTCCTTCCCATTCAGCCTCCTCCTGCAGCCCCCACACAGCCCCCTCTGGTTTATGGGGCCACCGGTGCTACTCGGCGGACCCTTACATCAGCCTGGGCTTGCCTCCCGAAGTACATGTCTGATGAGATGGCCTTGACGTTGCCGAACTTCTTCTGGGCCTCATCCGTACTTTCAGCGGGCTCGTAGTCCGGCTTGCGGCGTGCTGTCGGTCTGCAATTAAAAACAGCCCAAACCGGATCAATTCACTCAAGGTGAGGCAACTGTGTTCCTGGTACAATGTATACATGCGCTATTTTATTTTAAAAGTCAACAGAAGTAATTTGTATAAGGATTGCCAGCCACTTTAAAAAGCTGGATCCCAGGAAAGAGAAAAAGGGGTGGCAGTGTGGCCATTCTCCAGGGGGCGATTTCTCACTTTCTCTTTGTCTCTCTCCTGTGAGCACACATGCCGTAAAGCAGAAACCTCTAAAAAAGGGAATAAATATTCAAACCACGCAATGTTTCGAGGAGTTCCAGGTGAGTCTGCTACTGCACATTCGTGCCCGTGGTCCCTTCGCACTTCAGCTCAGTCAGTCAACACCAAGCTCAGGTCTGTGACCTACGAGGGGCCTACGAGGGACTCCAGCCTACGACCCGGGGCATGGAGTTACAGAGTGACCACATGGTTCCTCTCCCTGGGATGAGCCCAGGCTACTACACCTGTCATCTCAACGCGTTAGGGGTGGCCCATGGACTCCGGAAGGCTCCCAGATTCGGGCAATAGGTTATGTGGCCCCTCACCCATAACTCCAAAATCTGGAGACGCCCTTCAACAGGTGAGTGGACACCACCGTGGGGACCAGGCTCAGCCACACGCACGAGGGAGACCTGACAAGCCGGAGTGGAAAGGCCGGTACCACCCATCCCATTTCTGTGTGCTCGTGGGCCCAGAAAGCAGACCAGGGGTGCTGGGAAGACAGTGGCTGACTGGGGGCAGAGGGGATTCGGGGTAAATGCAACCGTTCTGCCTCTCAGTTCCGCTGCAGCTACATTACTGCACGTGCCCGGAAAAGGTAAGAGAGCAGTCCTACAACACCGTGGTCGAACACCGTGGGTACAGAGCTGGGCCCCACACGGCCAATCGTGGCTCAAATTTCGGCCCCAGAGAATCGAAAGCCGTGCCGAGCACATGTGTGTGCGCCCACAGCCCTGACAGGAGGAAGACGCAGGGGAGGACTGCACCGTGACTATGTCCTGTTGGGGATGTGCTCTTTGGCAATGATGATAATACAGATGACATTTTCTATATACAAATGCCTCCTTAAAGTGGGGGAGGGGACTGGAGTCTCACTTGGCCACAGCAGTTCAAGTCCCAGACCTAGTGGCTTGAAAACCATGCTGGGCCCATGTGCAGGCATGCCCCAAATCCCAGGGGACAGTGGAGGAGCAGGGACTGCAGCGTGGCCATCCCTCCTGGGGAGTGATTTCTCATTTTCCCATTGTCTCTGTTTCTCTGGTGAGCGCACGTGCCCTGTGGCGAGCAAAAAAAAAAAGAGGAACAAGGACCAGCAGGTGGCATGATGGAGGTTAAGGCCACTAGACCCACATGGCCAACTGCGCAGTTCCAGTCCTAGACCGGTGCCTGAAAATACGCCCAGCACACGTGCTCGGGTGCCCAGGATCCCGAGAGAACAGAGGAGAAAGGACTGAGCGTGGCCATCCTCCTGGGTGGGGAGTATCTTAGCATTTTTCCTCTTTCTCTCTCTCTGTCTCTCTCTCAGGTCTGTGACCTACGAGGGGCCTACGAGGGACTCCGGCCTACGACCCGGGGCATGGAGTTACAGAGTGACCACATGGTTCCTCTCCCTGGGATGAGCCCAGGCTACTACACCTGTCATCTCAACGCGTTAGGGGTGGCCCATGGACTCCGGAAGGCTCCCAGATTCGGGCAATAGGTTATGTGGCCCCTCACCCATAACTCCAAAATCTGGAGACGCCCTTCAACAGGTGAGTGGACACCACCGTGGGGACCAGGCTCAGCCACACGCACGAGGGAGACCTGACAAGCCGGAGTGGAAAGGCCGGTACCACCCATCCCATTTCTGTGTGCTCGTGGGCCCAGAAAGCAGACCAGGGGTGCTGGGAAGACAGCGGCTGACTGGGGGCAGAGGGGATTCGGGGTAAATGCAACCGTTCTGCCTCTCAGTTCCGCTGCAGCTACATTACTGCACGTGCCCGGAAAAGGTAAGAGAGCAGTCCTACAACACCGTGGTCGAACACCGTGGGTACAGAGCTGGGCCCCACACGGCCAATCGTGGCTCAAATTTCGGCCCCAGAGAATCGAAAGCCGTGCCGAGCACATGTGTGTGCGCCCACAGCCCTGACAGGAGGAAGACGCAGGGGAGGACTGCACCGTGACTATGTCCTGTTGGGGATGTGCTCTTTGGCAATGATGATAATACAGATGACATTTTCTATATACAAATGCCTCCTTAAAGTGGGGGAGGGGACTGGAGTCTCACTTGGCCACAGCAGTTCAAGTCCCAGACCTAGTGGCTTGAAAACCATGCTGGGCCCATGTGCAGGCATGCCCCAAATCCCAGGGGACAGTGGAGGAGCAGGGACTGCAGCGTGGCCATCCCTCCTGGGGAGTGATTTCTCATTTTCCCATTGTCTCTGTTTCTCTGGTGAGCGCACGTGCCCTGTGGCGAGCAAAAAATAAAAGAGGAACAAGGACCAGCAGGTGGCATGATGGAGGTTAAGGCCACTAGACCCACATGGCCAACTGCGCAGTTCCAGTCCTAGACCGGTGCCTGAAAATACGCCCAGCACACGTGCTCGGGTGCCCAGGATCCCGAGAGAACAGAGGAGAAAGGACTGAGCGTGGCCATCCTCCTGGGTGGGGAGTATCTTAGCATTTTTCCTCTTTCTCTCTCTCTGTCTCTCTCTGGCAAGAGCACACACCCTATAGCAAAATTTAAAACAAAAATGAGGGGAAAGTAACACATTCCTGGGCTTTGCCAGCCCGACCCATGGACTCAGAATCTCCAGGAAGAGACCCCTGGGCACGTGCTTCTAAAAAGGTCCCCTAGTGATTCTGTTGTGCGCCTCCAAGGCAGAATCACTCCCTTCCAGACAGTGGGACGAAATCACTCACCAGCCTTACAAAGGTTTTCGGTCTCTCCCTCTTTCCCAGAGACACAGCTCACTGCCACAACCCCGTGCTACGTCCATACCTGTCTGAATAGCCTGAGCTCTTCAGCACGATCTCCGTATCCCTGCTGGTCTCCTTCTTCCAGTAGGAATCTGAACTGTCATCCCAGGTAGAAAAAGAGCTGCTCCTTAACTCCATTGGGTCATCGAAGTACCTGTGTGGTCAAGGCAAGGGCAGGACAGTGACTCCCAGGCTTTCTGGACGCTAATTCACACCGCAGTCTCGTGTCCGACAGCGTGGGGGACCGCGCTTCCTTGCCCCCTTAAAGTTGGGGCAGCCGCATGACTAGATCTGGTCAGTGACAGGAGCAGAGGTGAGGCGTGCCAGCTCCGGGGCCTTCCAAGGGCCTGTGCTCAACCAGTCCTCCTTCCTGCAAATGGAGGAGCCTGTGGTTCCAGGTGCTGTCGCCTCGGGCAGGTGGACCTTCATCATTCAGACAACGAGTGCCCCACAGAAGCAGGCACAGTCCCCTGCACCCTGACTGGCCTAATGTGAACAGAAATAAACTACGACGGTGTTAAGTCCTTAGGGTTGGGGGGATGTTTGTTACACGGCATAACCTACACCGTCCAGGCAACCCGTGACGTCTTTGAGCAGCATCTACCAAGAGCTGCACATGCCGTGTTCTTTGGATCCGGCTCTGCCTGGTTAGGTCACAGCAGAGGGAGCTGCTGGGTCTGAAAAGCTGGCCCACCCAAGGAGCTCCTCCTGGGCAGCTCCCCGCCACATGAGGATGAGAACTGTGAGCCTATGTGATGCCGGTGAAGTTCACGACCTCCTGGGGTTGGGTACAAAGCTAGGGACACCCACCACTGGCTCAGTCTGTAGACGCTCTTTCGGCCTGGAGCTGGAAGCACATGTGGAGGAGAGGCCGGCCCTCAGGGTGGATGGCACCGAGCTGGCTGGGCAGGGCATGGCCGAGGCAGCACCATTCAATGGTGGCTTTTAGGGCCTGTGAGATTAGAGGAAAAGCCCTGAGGCCTGCCTGCGAGAGTGGCCATGCCATGTCAGAGTTCCTTAACTCCATCAGGCTCCAGATGGAAGCCAGAGATGCCTCCTTAGCGGGGAGAGTTCAAGCAGCCCAGAGGGGAGAGGCGATCCCAGGGCCTAGTCTCAGGAAGCAGGGCCATGGAAGGGGAAAGTGGAGGCTTAGGAAAGGCCACGCGGGCTCTCCCCAGAGGAGCACGGAAGAACACAGTCAAGATGAGGCTCTGCAGAACTCCAGGCAGCCAAAGACGAGTATGAGGTGGCAGCCTGGAAGGGCAGACAGGCCAGGATCAGGGAGCTGCGGCTGGGGGTCAGGGCCAGCATATTCCTTTTCCTGGCAGAACAAAGGAGGGGGGAGGAGGGACCTGCTCTTTGAGCAGGTGGTGTGACCTGTGGATGAAGAGGAGGAATTTCAAAATGTGGTTTCTGCTTTCTTGGCAAGACAGTCATCAAGAGCAAATCTGTGGCCCTCTCTTCCCCCAGGAAGAAAAAGGTGTTCGCAGCACATCTGGATTTGCACTAGAAACCAGCCAGGCCCTGCCTGTGCCTACTGAGGGACGGGCACTGCCCTGGGCGCTGCTGGGAAGAAGCGACAGCCAGGCCCCGCTCAGAGAAGGAAGACCAGGACGGGATGGCACTGGACGCCATGCCAGAGGGAGGGGCCAAGCTGCAGGTGCTCGCTGGCTGGGGACTGTGCCCACTGGCTGGGGCCTGTGCTCGCTGGCTGGGGGCTGTCCCAGCACTTCCGAGGGCCTTGCTAGTACAGACCCAGGGAAAAGACAAGATGGATGGGGGACGTAAAACCACGAAGCACCCCGGCGGGGTTCCGACACTGCGAGGGACAGACAGGGCAGGGACACATCCGGCCTGTCCCTGAGGCACTGCCAGGGGGCTGCTCCTGCTCAGCATTCAGAACCCCAGGGAGTGTGAGTACAAGGCAACGGTTCCGATTCCGACCACCGGCATGGCTGCCAGAGGAGGCTGGAGTGCCCCAGAGGGCGCGGTCGGTGGGTGGGCTTTATGTGTGTGTGTGGAAGAGCTGCAGATTCTTCACAAGCTGGAAAAAGACTTTTAGAGATCTGGCATTGCTCCAAAGAACCATTTTGTTTTGTTTTGTTTTTAAGAATTATTTTACTTAACTTTATTTATTTATTTTAATTTGACCAGAGAGGGACAGAGTGAGAGAGAGAGAGAGAAAGCGAGAAAGCAAGCTGCCAGATCTGGGACTTGAACCACGGTCGGACACGTGGGAGTCAGCACCCCTAACCACCACGCCACCCACTAGCCACGGAAACGTGGTTCTTCATTTATGTAAGCCAGGTATTTATCGCAGATGTGGGATCGGGTTACCGCACAGGCCAGGAGCATCCTGCCTCAGGGGAACCGGTTCCCGAGCGGCACTGGGATGTACAGGGTGCTGGGGCTTCTCTGCTCTCGCACCATGCAGGAGGCAGCCAGCACCTCACTGGGGGACAGGCAGACGCCAACCAGGCCTGCAGCCGCCCCTAGAGGGACAGGGAGCAGGGCCAAAGCTATCAGCCCTTCCCTAGAAACTGGACACTGCCTCCCCGGCTCCACTCTGACGTTCTGATTCCGACATCGCAGTTCTCGATATTTGTCACCTGTATTTTTGCCCTTCCACTCTACCCTTTTCCATCCCTGAAAACATTCCTTAAAACCCTCGATCAGGGGACCAGCAGTTGGCGTAATGGCTATGTCACTGGACTCCCATGTAGTCGACCATGGTTCAAGTACCGGACTCGGCAGCTTAAACTCACGCTGGGCGCGTGTGCGTCCAAGATCCCGAGAGGAGAATGGAGAAGGGATTGTGGCGTGACCATCCCCCCTGGGGGGTGATTTCTCGCTTTCTGTCTGTCTGTCTCTGTCTTTCTGGTGACTGCAAGCGCCCTATAGCAAAAACTTCTGAAAACAAACAAACAAACAAACAAACACCCTCGACCAGAGCACCGTCCCCTCGTGGTCTGCCCGCTCTGCAGCTGCTCAGTTTCTATCCTATTCTATTGACTGTAAGGCTGAGAAAAACGTTCTGGTCTCATTATTTTGTATTCAGTGTATACGTACATTGTTTATAGCACAGAAATAATGGGACTCGATAAAAAATGAAAACCAAAGATATGCTTTGATATCTTATTTCTAATAGAAATAGTGCTCTTTCATAATTCATAATATTCGAGTCTTAATGGGCTAATGAATAATTTGGAAGCAGTAAGAGCCCTTCATGGAACTAATACGCTTGCTTTCTGAGCGCCCCTGTTTATTTGACCTCAGTTGCCAAAGTACTTCATAGCTCCTGATCCACTGACCGTGGTCACCCTGCCAACAAGGACTAGGAGGCCTCTGTGACCCCCCAGACGGCCGATGGGCTCCATGAGCACCGCACTGAGGCTCTCTGGCCGAGTCCAGGAGTGTGGGGGACGGAAGAACGCCATCTGCCCCAGGCTTCCCACCACAGATAGCAGCGTCACAGCGACGCAGCAGCAGGCCTCCAGGGCCGACTCTTCTGATTGAGCCCTCAAGGAAGGAGACACCTCGTGGGCTCCTAAAGCCCCACAGGGCCCTGGTCGGCCTGGGGCTGGTGGGCTCTCTGGCAGCGCCCATGCAGTGGGTGGCCTCGCCAGGAGTCTTCTTTCCTACCCACCCTGCTACCAAGCAACAGGGCAGCTCACTCAACGAGAACTCGCCTTTCTTTCCTCCCAATGCTGTCAGCACAGGGGGTGCAGCTTCTGAATCAAATCACAGATTTAACTCCCTCCAGTACAAAATACTTTTAGAAGACACAGTTTTGGGGGGGAATCAGCAGATGGCATAATGGTTATGTCACTGGACTCCCATGTAGTCAACCACAGTCCAAGTCTCAGACCCGGCAGCTTAAAACTCATGCTGTGTGTGTGTGTGTGTGTCCAAAATCCCAAGAGGAGAATGAGGAGAGGGGATTGCAGCATGGCCATTTCCCCGGGGAGTGTTTTCTCACTCTCTGTCTCGGTCTCTCCAGTGGGCACACACACCCTATAGCAAAAACCTTTCCTGAAAAAAAGGCAGCGACACGATTTGGGTGTGACCCCTGGGTAAACTGAAGGTGTGTGTTATACAGGTTACGGAAGAGAGCCACGTCTCGGAGGTGCTGACACAGAACACACTCAACTACTGTTTTTCTGGAAAGAAACCAGACTGGAAATAATTTGGAGCTACGCTTAGAAAAAAAATGGTAAGGGCAGTACTCTTTATATAATTCCTCATCTCTGAATCTTGACAGGACCAGCAGTTGGTGTAATGGCTATGTCGCTGGACTCCCATGTAGTCAGCCGCGGTTTGAGCCCCAGACTTGGCAGCTTAAACTCACACCGGGCGCATGTGTGTGCATTCCCAAGATCCCAAGAGGAGGATGGAGAAGGGATTGCAGCGTGGCCATCCCCTCAGGGGGTGATTTCTCGCTTTCTCTCTGTCCCTGTCTTTTTGGCAAGCGCATGCACCCTATAGCAAAAACCTCTTCGAAAAAAGAAAATAGATAATTTCATAATTAGATTTTGGCTAATAGTTAACATCTGTCTACATCTGCTCTACCTATGCCACCTACGCCTTCCACACACAAGAACCCCTTCAGGCTTCTAAGGACCTCTAGGACGTAAGTGACAGAGCCCCTGCTCAGCTCCACTCACAGCTGACAGGCCCAAATTCCATTTTCACCAGCTCCTGACAGAGGTCCTCCGTGTGGTCAACCTGCCTCCCTGACAGCAGCAAGGAAATACCTAGGCCGAGCTGAGTCTCTGCCTTGTAACCCCAGCGGAACAGAACAAGAGCCAAGCACTCTTACAAATGCTCTATTTGCAGTAACTCATTTAACCCCCACGCGATGCTGGGAGGCAGGGGCCGCAGGGTCCCTAATTCACAGGTGAGGCAGCTGCAGCCCACAGAGGGTGAATAACTGGCAGCAAATCCAGGCTGCCTGGCTGCTGGTGCACACGCCAAGCTCCCTGGAGGTGGGCATGCTCCTTAGCCCGCCCAGCTCCAGGGAGAGCACAGGCCCACACGGTGCCTCTCCAGCAGGCCTCTCCCTGTGCATGGCACATCCTTGGGGGAAGTTCGTCCTCCCTGCCCCTGCCGGCTGCTGCTGGAACCTGAAACTCGGCCCTCTCCCTGGTCGGCCTCACACCAGAGCTGTGCCCATCCTGGCAGTGGGGAGCACTGGAGGTCAGGGACCCGTGGGGAAGCCCTCCAAGTGCAATCCTGCCTCTCACTGGTACACACACAGATACAGCTCATTTAATACTCTCCCATGAGGCCGGGTTTCCCAGAGCTGCTGTTCTCAAATGAGGGGTCTGCAGAGGTTGTAGGCGCTGCTACTCGCTGTCCCCACTGCTGGACAGAGGCAACAACCGCCTCCGTGCAGGGGCTCCAAAAAGCTCACGGAAATCACACATCATGGAAACTATGCAAGGACTTCCTTGCTTTTTTTGCACCTCAATTTCATTTTCCCTCTTTTGAAGTCCTGGTGTGTACCTTCAAAATTTTGCATTTTCGCCAATTCTGCATTTTAGATAAACACATTTCTCCAGCCTCTAATTTTAACTTGCAGTTGCTGATCTTATTAGCAAACATTGCCCACTTACAAAGGTCTCCTAGCTTTGTTCTAAAGCTTTGTCTTGGTCTTAACCAAAACGTTTTTAAAGTTTTTGTTTATTTGTTTTTTCTATAGGGTACTTGTGCTTACCAGAGAGAGAGACAAAGTGAGAACTCACCTCCCAGGGGGTTTGGCCACGCTACCATCCCTCCTCCTCCACTTTCCTCTTGGGAGCTTGGGCACAGACATCTAGCCTAGCGTGCTTCTAAAGCTGACCCGACAGGCCCAGGATTTGAACTGTGAAGCTGGCCATGTGGGATCCAGTGCCTTAACCTCCATGCCACCTGCTGGCCCCAGCCAAAACGAAGTAAATTGGTCTAAGCAGTGGCTTAGACTACAGGTAGACTAGTAAGTCCATGCTAGTCACCATAGTCCAAAACAACAGACACTTCGGCGAGGGTTTTACCAGAATACCTGGAGCTGGAGGTAAAAAAGGCGTCCTCGCTGTCCTCATTGTATTTTTTCCTTGGTTTCGCCAGGACGGGGGACTCTTGCTCTATGGTCTGCATGTCCGAGGCCACTGAGTGTGAAATACCGCTTGAGAAAACAGAAAGAGACAGACAGACGTGACATCGGTTACTTCTGAAAGGCTTGTTCCGCCAGAAAGAAAGAAGTCTTAATCTATCCTCTGAACAAAGACAGATTTATTAGTGGGGTTAAAGACACAAGCAATAAAACCTTTTTTTTTTTTTTTGAGAGGTTTTCGCTATAGGGCGTGTGCACTCGCCAGCCAGACAGAGAGAGACCTAGAGACAGAAAGCGAGAAATCACCCCCCAGGGGGGATGGTCACGCCGCAATCCCTTCTCCTCCATTCTCCCCTCGGGATCTTGGGCACACATGCACACGCGCCCGGCGTGAGTTTTAAGCCACTGGGTCCAGGACGCAAACCGCGGTCGACTACGTGAGAGTCCAGCGACATAGCCATTACACTAACTGCTGGTTCCCAAAACCATTATTTTTGATGCAGGCTTTCAAAAATATCCGTTCTCTGTTGAGGACTGTAACTACACACAGTCCTGCGTGTGGGTCATGTTTCTGGCATCTTCTCCGGTGGGTGCTGAAGGAGGAGTCAGACCTGACTATTTTTTTTTTAGACCCACGTTTGGAATTTTTCATGCTGTATTGCGTGCGAGACTAAGACAAAAATAATTAAAGAAGGACTAACAGAAAATTACCTCTGAAGTTACAATGAATACGCTCCAGAGAAAATCCACTTAGGACTAGCAAACTGGTCTAAATGCTGAAATCCGACAGAGCAAGGCCCCACATACCTTCTGCAGTTTCCAAATCCCATGCCCAGCCTCTCTGATTCGATTTTTTTTTGGCCACTCTTGTTCATCTTGTCATCCTTCTTCATTTGAATTTCAAGATCTTTATAGGCTAACCGTAACGATGAAACGCTGCCAGGAAGAACATATGCTCCTTAGTTTAGCATTCAAATCTTATGTTCTTATGTTAAATAGTAGGCAAAATTAAACACGGATTAGGTTCATGAAAAAGCAACTGCAGTTTTGGACCAGGAATTTCAAATCATTATAACTAGGCTCAAACACATCTTCATTAATCAAAATAAGCATTACAATCAACACGTTTTTGCCAGTGAGAAATAAGTGTGTCTATTCCCGCAGCATGAAAATCCGAGCTTCGGGATTTGATGTTCTTGGAAAGCGCCTTCGGCATCCTGCTGGCTGTGGAAGTGTTTTGAAGAAGTGGTATTAGTTGGCGAGAGGTCGGTGGATATAGTGGAGTAGGCAAAACCTTGTAACCCAATCTGTTCAACTTCTGAAGTGCTGCTTGTGCACCGCGGGCTCGGGTGTTGTCCTGGAGACTGTGCCCTTCCTGCGGAGCGACGCCGGGGCAGGCCTTGCAGTTTGGGTGCATCTCCCCGACGCACTGGTGAAAGTCTGGCTTTGAGCAATGCTTCGGAGCGTCTCGGTCGAATCACTGCGCTGGTTGTTGCCGGTTGTTGTGTAACTTTCACTTTTTGTTGCACGTCACAATCCAACTGAGAAATGATTGGCTGTCGCATAGAATTAAGAGAAGACGACACTCGAAAACGACAATTTTGAAAATTTTCGGTCGGCTCATGAGGCAATCACTTCACGAGCTTTCCCACCTTTCCAATTTGCTTCAAATGCCAAATGGCCACAGAATGGTCAACGCTGAGTCCTTCAGCAACTCCCCGTGCAGCTGGGAGAGGATCCGCTCCGACGACTGCTCTCGGTTGGTCGTTGTCACCTTCCAGTGGCCAGCCACTACGCTCCTCATTGTCAAGGCTTTCGTCTGCTTTGCAAACTTATGAACACCACTGCACTGAATGTTCTAGCAGTTCCTGGGCCAGCGCGGTGTGGATGCTGTGAGCTGTCTCTGCTGCTTTGTGACCCATTTTGAACTCGAATGAGAAAAATAGCTCAAATTTGCTTTCTGTCTAATTCCATTTCCACAGTCTAAAATAGTATAAAATTAACAACAAGTAACAAGTCATTAGCAAAAAAATTAAGCAAAAAATGCATATTAAAATGCTTTCTAGGGACCAGCAGATGGTGTAATGGTTATGTCGCTGGACTCCCGCATGGCCGACTGCAGTTGGAGTCCTTGAAACTCACACTGGCAGCTTGAAACTCATGCTGGGCACATGTGTGTGGGTGCCCAAAATCCTGAGAGAAGAATGGAGAAGGGACTGTGGCATGGCCATCAGCCCTGGGGAGTGATTTCTCACTGTCTCTTTGTCTCTCCAGCAAGTGCATGTGCCTTAAAGCAAAAATCTCCATGTTATTAAAAAAGAGGATGTCTAACTTAACCACATTTAAGAACGTATTCCAATGTCAAGAGGCACAGTTCCACACACGCTTCTGTACCAATAATAGCTTACACTTTTAGCTTCATGCTCCTTTCCTTCTTTCCGTAACTAACAGTTATAAAGGCAAGATGGCTTTTCTGTTTGTTTTATTTTTTTTTTGAGAGGGATTTTTGCTATAGGGCGTGTGTGCTCTCCAGAAAGAGAAACAGAAAGTGAGAAATCACCCCCCAGGGGGGATGGCCACATCGCAATCCCTTCTCCTCCACTCCCCTCTCGGGATCTTGGGCACGCACACATGTGTGCCCAGCATGAGTTTAAGCCATCGGGCCTGGGACTCGAACCGTGGTCAACTACATGGGAGTCTAGTGACATAGCCATTATGCCAACTGCTGGTCTGGCGATTCTTTTTTTTAACTGCCAGAGAGAGCACATGGTCATGAGTGAGCAAGCGTAAGAGGGGGCAGGGGAAAGGCACACTTTAAGAGGCTTGGTCACACCTCAATCCTTGTTCTTCCATTTCTCCTTCCCATCAGGATTTGGGTTGCACACAGACACATGCACACACCCGGTGTGTTTTTCAAGTTGCTGGGGCTGAGATTCGAACCGTGGTTGGTCATGGTCTGGTTCCCTATGCACGGAGCTTAACATTGCACTTCAGGGCTGGTCAGGTTGGCATATTTTCTCCTGGTCTTTTTCAAGTAGCTGCTCAAGAAAATTTCATATGTTTACAGCCACTTGTTGGTCACTGTCAAACCGCCATCATTGTTCAAGTGTAGCTGGTACTGCCTAGTATTCTAGGACAACAACTGAAATCACCACTCTGTGGACAGTGAGAAGCAGGACTTCTCATTTGAATTAATATTTTATTACACTTGCCCATTACATATAGAAGTATGAGCTTATCTCATTTATTTTATAAATAAATTATTATTCTATAAATAAATAAAGGGAGGCAGGAAGGATGACTTAATTGTAAAAAAAAAAAAAAGCTTGTAGTTTATGAAAGAACCTTGTAGGATCTCTCTTGGTGACCCAGCTTCTGAGAGCATTTATTAGCGAGTGGGATGGGCACCCATCAGCCACAGCGCCCGCAGCGCCGCCTGTCTTACGCGGATGTCCTGGGATATACTAGATAGTGCACCAGGGAGTAGAAAAGGTGCATAGAACATTGCACTCACTTGTAGGTTTCTAAAAACACAGCCCTAAGGAGAACTAGGCCTACAGAGGCGACATCGGCGGCCTCGTCTCTCATCAGGAAGACGCTATGAAGTTGCAGGACCCAGAAGATGGATCAGCTACCTTTGAGGACTTTTAGGGTGTCACTTGTTTTTTGAGGTCATGTCAAAAGTAATGAATGCCTCAGAAGAGAAGCCCGTATAATTTATAGTGCTATAAATAAATTTCTGTGTAGTAATAACAGGGAATGACAACAGAATTTTTAAGGTTTTTGTCATAGGGCATGTGTGTTTGCTGGAGAGAAAGAAAGAAAAGAAAGAGGAAGTGAGAACTCATCCCCAAGGGGGATGGCCATGCTGCGATCCCTTTTCCTCTGTTCTCTGGGGATCGTGGGCACACATGCATACATGCCTGGCATGGTTTTCAAGTCACCAGGTCTGGGACTCGAACTGTGGAGTGGCCATGTGGGATCCAGCGCCCCCAGTACCAGTGTCGTCATTCCCTCTTCTCCATTCTCTTGAACTCTCCCCTCTCTCTCTCTAAGATCCAGGCTTGAGCCTCTGCAGAGACCACCACTACCATCGTCCTGTATCACCCACTTACAACTTGGCCCCGAGTCCAACAGCGTTCCCCACTAGAAACATCACTAAAGATATTTTCATGCCGGCCCTGTGGGTTGGTGGTTAGGAAGCCAGATACCACGTGACCTGACTGTGGCCTGAATCTCAGCACCAGTGGCTTGAAAAAACATACTGGGTGCATGTGTGAGCGTGCTCCAAATCCCAGCGGGGTGGAGAACTAGAAAAGGGATTATGTGTGACCACGCTGCACGGGGCGAGGGGTGCTTTCTTCCTCCCTCTCTGCCTCTCCTTGGTGAATGCTCACGTCCCTTGGCAAATTTAACAATAAATAAATGAGTGAATGAATAAAAAGAAAAAAAAGAAATCTTTTTACATTTCTGAGATCCAGCTCACTAAGTACGTCCCGTGAAGGAGTGCCGCTCAGTCACTAACACTAGAACGTCGCTGGCAGCCCCAAAAGGACCCTTTACCCACCAGCAGCCACTCGCCACTCTCTCCTCCCCTGGCCCCTGGCGACCAGCGTCCCACTGTCCATCTCTGGATCTGCCTCTCCTGGATCTTTCTCATACAAGGAATCACGGATGTGTGGCCAAGGGATCATGGCGTGACAAAGCCCTGCTGAGGATGTTGCCCTCTTTCTGGCTCGTGCCCAGCTTCTTGCATGGACTGTTCAAGGTGTCGCCCTGCAGGAGTCTCAGGTTGTCCTGCCCATGGACAGACACATTCCGGTCATCCACCAGGTGACCAACATCTGGCCGTTCCCACCATCTGGCTGTTGGGATCACCGCCACCATCAGCGTTCAGGCACGTGTTTGTGTGGCTGGGTGTCTTAATGCTCTGGTGTACATGCTCCCGGGTGGACCTGCGGGGTCACATGGCGACTTCCTGTTTTGTCTGTTGAAGGATCGCCCACCTGTTTTCCACAACGGTGGCGCCATTTTACACAGCAGTGCGCGAGGAACGCATGAGGGCTCCAATTTCTCCACATGCCGCTCAACACTTGTTACTGTTTTTTTTTGTCTTTGTTTTATTTTTTAATTTATTTTTTTAGGTTTTTGCTATAGGGCATGTGTGTTTGCCAGAGAGAGAGGAGGAGAAAGAGAGACAAAGACAGTAAGAAATCATCAAGGTGTCACGGCCCCATTAGGGGGACGGCATGGCCACACAGAAATCCCTCCTCCTCTCAGCACTGTGGGTGCACCCTGGCGTGCTTCTCAAGCCACCAGGTCTGGGACTCATACGGCAGTCAGCTGTGTGGGATCCGGCACCTCAAAGCCCGTGCCATCTGCTGGCTGTTACTGTCCTTTTCTTGCAGCTGCCCTGGCAGTGTCTCCAGTGCCCACTGTGCTTTACCTACCACCAATAACGCTGGCCTCCCACAGACATGCCTCCTGGTACACCCATCTCTCTTCTTCCGACATCACTCCAGTCCTGCCCTCTCAACTTCAACCAGAAACCGCCACTGCACAGCCACGCCGTGCCTGAGAGGCTGGAAGTCACAGGCCAACCACGGGCTCGGATCCCCGGGCTGTCCTGAAAACATGCTGGGTGTGCACACGGGTGCCAGGATCCTGATGTTTCCCCCTCCCTCTGGAGGGGTAGGGAAAAGGGATCACGCATGACAGAACCCCGTTGAGGGTGTTTTCCCTCTTTCTGTCTCTTGCATGTGTGCATGTACTATCATCAATTAAAGAAAAAGAGGGGCCAGCAGGTGGTGTGATGGTCAAGGAGCTGGACTCCCACATGGCTGACCGTGGTTCAAGTCCTGGACCTGAGAACTTAAGAATCATGCTGTGTGCACACCCAGAGACCCAGAAGGAGAATGGAAGAGAAGGGATTGCAGTGTGGGCATCCCCCTGGGGGTGATTTCTCACTTTCCTTCTCACTGTCTCTCTCTCCAGTTGAGTGCGTGGGCTTATGGCAAAAACCTCAAAAATGTAAATAAGGAAAAAAGAATTTCTTGCTGCTCTCCTTCGCCATTGGTCTCTTTCCTTCCCAATCTACACAGAATACCCTCCGGAGCCAGCCCACCAGAGGAGGTATTATGTGTGGCATGGAGGTTAAGGTAGTGGGATCCCACATGGCCAAGTGCGTGGCTCAAGTCCCAGATCTGGTGGCTTGCTTGATAAACGCACTGGGCACATGTGTGTGTATGCCCCAAATCCCAAGAGGAGAATGGAGAAGGGACTGGGGCATGGTCATACCCCCCAGGGGGGGATGGTTTCTCACCTCCTTTCTCTCTCTCTCTTTGACAAGAGCACATGCCTTATAGCTAAGTAAAAACAAACAAAAAAAAAACAAACAAAAAAACACCACTCTTGGAGATCTTAGAGTAGGCAAAGACTTCTTAAAGAAGACGTCCCGGGGTCAGCAGGTAGCGTGGTGGTTAAGGGCACTGGACTCCCACATAGCCGACTGTGGCTTGAGTCCCAGACCTGGCAGCTTGCTTTCTCACTTTCCTTCTCTCTTTCTCTCTCACACACACTCTGTCCTCCACTTGTCAAATTAAAATAAACAAATACATAAATTTAAATAAAATAATTCTTTAAAAAAAAAAAAAGACCTCCAAAGCACAGGCAATAGTCCCCAAAATAGACAAATGGGGAGATATTAGGCTGAGAAGCTTCTGCACAGCCGGAGAAACAACAAGTAGAGTGAGAAGACAACCCTCAGCGTGGGAGAATATATTTACAACTTATACCTCAGATAAGGGACTGATAACCAGAATATACAGGGGATTCAAGCAGCTTATCCACAAAAAATAATCCAATTAAAAGATGGGAAAAGGAGCTGAACAGACAATTTTCTGAAGAAGACATACGAACAGCCCAAAAGCATATGAAAACATGCTCGATGTCTTTCATCGTACGGGAGTTGCAGATCAAAACCATGAGATACCTCTTAACCCCAGTCAGAATGGCCAAAATTAAGACGATAAACAACGACAAAGTGCTGGTGAGGTTGTGGTGAAAAGGGAACTCTCCTACACTGTTAGTGGGAATGTAAATTAGCACAGTCACTTTGGAGAACGGTCTGGAGATTCCTTAGCAACCTACAAATAGAGTATCATACCCAGTAACTCCGCTTTTAGGTATTACCCAAAGGATAGGAAAACCCTTGAACATCCATGTTGGAGCATTATTTACAATTGCTAGGACATGGAATCAACCCAAATGTCCAAAAACAGATGACTGGATTAAAAATGTGGCACATGTACTCTATGGAATACTACTCAGCCATAAAAAACAATGAAACCCTGACATTTATTTGACACAAAGTGGGCCAATATGGAAGACTTAATGCTAAGCAAAGCAAGTCAGACTATGAAAAACACACTTTTCACGTCCCCACTCAATATATACTGACTATCTGTGCTCGACAGCAGAAACTGAGAGTTTGGGAGGTCCAGTAGCAGGGAACGCAGCAGTAGAAACTAGAGACAGTAAGGATAGGGGTACTACAGGGGTAGGTACTGGAGGGGGGAATGGGAACAGGGGAAGAGAAGTGTGTTTAACTGACAAAACGATGAAAAGCTATTTGCTGCTGATGTGTAGAGTAATGTCTTGGTCTTGACTGATATGCATGGCAATCGTGCTGGGAAAAGAAATGTTATACATCGTAAAGACATATATGATTAAATGCCATATAAAATACATTTTAAAAAAAAGAAAAGAAAAAAACACACTATCATTTTTCTTTTCTTCTTTTTCTTTTTTTAAGTTTATTTATTTCTTCTGAGAGAGAGAGTGAAAACCCCCAAGAATGTCTTGACACTGTGATCTACCCCCAGCCTCAGTCAGACCCAGATCATGGGCATGCACGTGCCCAGCATACTCAGGGAGGTCTCTGGTCTTGAACCAAGAATCTTCCCATATGGGACTGGCTCACAGAGTATTGCATTTTACTGCTGTGCCACTGTCTGACCCCCAATATCTGTTTTTATAAAACTAAATTTTGCATTACCCTCACAACACTCACTTAAAAATAAATGGCACTGGGGCCAGCAGGTGGCATGGCGGTTAGGGCGATGGACTCCCACACGGCCAACACTGTTCAGGTCCCAGACCTGGCTTTCTCTCTCTCTCTCTCTTTCTCTCTCTCTCTCTGCCCTATAGCAAACTAAAAAATAATAATAAATAAGTTAAACAAATAATTCTTTTTTAAAAAATGGCATTTGAGAAACAAGCCTTGGAGTTGTTTAACTAATAGCTGTATTCCCTAAAAACGAACTGCTGTAACAAAATTAAACTTACATGGACTCTTCCTTAGGTGCGGCTCTGGCCAGGAGGTCTTCCTGTTCCTTCATTCTATCTACAGCTTGAGCTTGTTTTTCAATTTCGTTAAAGCATGTATTCGTCAGTTTCTGGGCTCCCAAACTTCCTTTTTTGGCCCCAAGCTAGAAGAAACACACAATTATATTCTACCCATGCTGCTTGGAAATCGTGTGACTGCAGCTCACATCTGCTGAGACTTAGCACTGCCAGGCCCTGTGGTGACACTGCGTTTGTTCTCTCGTTCAGTCCTCTCAACTCTGCAAAGTCGGCGTCAGTTCCACAAGAAAACTGAAGTCCATGGAAAGGAAGCAACTTGGCCAAGATCACACAGCCAGGAAGTCCCAGAGCCAGGATTTGAACCCCGGCATCTGCCTCCAAGCCAGTGCTCCGATACTCACTGCTGTGTCTGAAGCTTTCTGGCTCTCAGAGCTTAGACTGCTCTCAAAACCTCTCCAGATGTGACTGCTTGTAGAAACACAAGCAGGAAAGAGACTCTTGGGGAATTAATTTTTTTTTTGGGGGGGGGTAGAGTTTCTGCCATAGAAGAAATATTAGACTCATTCTAGAAAATATTCACTAAGTATAACATTATCCTTGTTGACCAAAGCACGGACTTACTTCATCAAAGCCGTACTTATTACAATATGCCTGACATTTTTTTAAAAACTAAAAGAAATTATTATTATTTTTTTTTTAGTTTAAGAACTAAACTACCAGATATAATACTCACTCCTTTTTTAGCTTGATTTGGTTTCTTTTTGATGATAGAGGAAACTTCTATCAAAAAAAGAAAAGCAAAAGAAAGCAAAAGTTAGACCAACAGAAGTTACAATGTTTCTATTTTAGTGTGTCTTTTAAAAAAGCCTGAGATGCCGTATATTATTATTATTTAAGCAACTATAACATTTTCCATATTGCCTTCCAGAAGACTGAGGTATACGCGTGTAGAGGAAGAAAACGCTTATCAGTTCTTGTGGAAACAGGAAACAGGATGGCATGGCCGCCCTAAGCCTGCTTAGGGGATGCAAACCCACCAGTCAAAGTGCCAGCGGCCGCGTGGCCCCGAGCACAGCACAGCACACTGTGTCCAAGCCGGCCAAAACAGAACCATGTTCTTTGCCCAGTAAAATCTCACTGACAGAGGCCGGGAGGCGGCGTGGTGACCGAGGCACTAGACTCCCATATGGCAGGATGTGGCAGCTTGCTTCATCACTCCATCCCCACCCTCCATGCTGAGCACACATGCCCTATAGAAAATTTAAAATAATAATAATGATAATTAATCAGATTAAATAAACAATATTGGTTTGGGCAGAGATTTTACTATAGCACATGTGCTCACCAGAGACAAAGAGACAAAAAACGAGAAATCTCCCCCCAGGGAGATGGCCACACTGCAACCCCTTCTCCATTCTCTTGAGATTTGGGGCACACGTGCACACACACCTGGTGTGTTTTAAGCCGCCAGGTCTGGGACTCGAACGTCAGGCTACTATGGCAGTTCAGCAATGTAACCATTACGCCATCTGTTAATCCCAATAAGCAATTCTTTAAAAATAACTCGCTGACAGGCTTAATCATAATGCTGTATTACTCTGGAAGTTGGGGTGCCTAGGCAGGATGTAAAGACAGGACTCATTTTCCTTAGGAAACCCCACTCTACGTCAGAACGCGGGGTGGTCACACATTACCCAGAGCAGCCTTCGCCGGCGCGTCCAGACCTTCCACACTGGGTCCTTGTCCTGGCCTGCCTGAAAATTCGAAGCACAGGGGTTAATGCAGAAAACAGACTCACCAAACTTGCTTTTTTTCTTTCTTTCTTTTTTTTTTTTTTCAGACTTGCTTTTAAATGTCCCACAGTTGAACTTGCTCGGGACTCTATTTACCCATTTTGCGAATGACGTCTTTCTTTTAGCTCCACGTTCTACTTTATCATTGTAAGGATGTTGATATTTTAATTTTCAAATCTGTTAAAATACAAGTGTGCGTCTATATAGTGGCTTTATAAGATGAAAACGGCAGTGGTCTCTCCCACTAACGTCACTCAGAACTCTATCTCCCCGGGTACTCCCTTTGTTTCTAACATCTGCTAGAGCGCATGTGCATCGACAGGACAGAGAAGAAAGAGGTAGATGGGAAGTGAGAGAGCGCGCACACCCTGCCCCGGGGATGGCGAGGCTGCAATTCCTTCTCCTCCATTCCTCCTTTCGGGATTGTGGGCGCACACGCACATGCACTCAGCATGGTTTACAAGCAGCTGGGTCTGGGACTCACCACGCCGCTGGCCATGACAAGGTGAGAATGCATCCCCCTGGGGAATGACTGCCTTAGCCACCATGCCGCCTGCGGGCCTGCCCGGCGTTTTCGAGTAGCCTGTTCCAGCATCCAGCACATAGTGGACAACAGGCCCAGTGTACGCGGACATTTGCAAAGTCTGCCACTCCCGCCGTCAATAATAGATAACTAAATTTTTGTTGCCAAGAAATCGGTCCTCTTTTCTAGTTTACCTAAAACAGTGACTCTCATTAGGATCTCTAGTAAGCTTCCATTAAATATGTATTTTTTTAATTGTTTTATTTATTGTCATTATTTTATTTTTTTGAAGTTGACCAGAGAGAGAGAAAGAAAGTGAGAAAGCAAGCTGCCAGGTCCAGGCCTCGAACCACAGTCAGCCATGTGGGAGTCCAGCTGCCTTCACCACATCACCTGCTGGCCCTTGGTTATTTTTAAATTTACCTACTACTTTAAGTGGATAAACGAAGTGTAGCACAGCCACGTAATGGAATACTGAGGGCCACAACAAGACAGAAGGCCCTGCGGTGCTACAGTGCAACGGGCCTTAGAGAATGCTGACAGACACGATCGCAGCCATGAAACTGCATGTGCGGTCCGACTTCCATGAAAGGTGCAAGAGGGCTAGCCATAGAGACGGGGCGAGCGGCGCGGCCGGGGTGGGGGCGGGGGCGTGACCCCTGGTGGGTATGGGCTTCCTCGCGGGCTGCTGAAAACGCTGCAGTGAGACAGTGGCACCGCACCATGGCCTTGGGGACCGCTGGAGAGAGACCAGGAAACTGCTCTAACAACTGCATAGCATATGAATTGTATGTCGATAAGCCAGCAATTAAAAATTTACTTATTTTGGGGGCCAGCAGGTGGTGTGGTGGTTAAGGCACTGGACACTCCCACATGGCCGATCATGGTTTGAGTCCTGGACCTGGTGGCTTGCTTTCTCATTTTCCCTCTTCCTCCCTTTCTATGTCTCTCTCTGGTCAAATTAGAATGAATGAATGAATAAATAAAATAAATAATTCTCTTACTAATTATTTACTTTTTAAAGTTTTTGCCATAAGGCGTGTGTGCCCACCAGGGAGACAGAGTGACAGTGAGAGGGGAAAGTGAGAAATTATCCCCCAGGGAGGATGCCACACCATAGTCCCTTCTCCTCTATTCCCTTCCTGGGATTTGGGACATGCACGCATATGTGCCTGGTTTGATTTTCAAGCCGCCAGGTCCAGGACTTGAACTGTGGTCATCCATGTGGGAGTCTAGCACCTTAATCACCTCGCCACATGCTGGCCCAACTTAGTATTGTTCTTTTTTGTGAGAGATTTTTGCTATAGGGCGTGTGCACTTGCCAGAGACAGATGGAAAACGAGAAATCACCCCAGGGGGGATGGCCACACCGCAGTCCCTTCTCCATTCCTCTCAGGGTTTTGGGCATACACACAGGCGCCCGGCGGGAGTTTTAAGCCACTGGATTCAGAACTGGAATTGCGATGGACTACGTGGGAGTCCAGGGATGTAACCATTCCACCATCTGCTGGTCCCAAAGCTACTGATCTTCAAATGTCAGGCCCAAGAGCGGCTTAGAGCAGCAGTCTGCACCAGCGACTGGTCTCGTGGAGAGAACGTGTCTGCAGACCGAGTGGAGGGGCCGGTGTCAGGATGAGTCAGGCATACTGCACTAGCAGGCACTTCCTTTTCATCGACACTCTGATAACCAGGACCAGGGCCAGTCAGTGCCCGGAGACTGGGGCCCTGGTGTAGACGCTCTGCCATCTCATCTGTAAGATGGTTAAAATGACAGTCTAACTGAGGCACTTCAGTCAGCAGAGCAGGGCGGGTGACACGAGGACATGTGGCAGGAAAACCACAGAGCACGCTGTACCGACACCCGGCCCGCCAGGACCCGCTCAGGGCACTGGGGAACAGATGGCAGGGGTCCCAGCAGATTCCGCACACTCTACCCTTCAGGCCTTCGGCCCTCCCGGGCTCACTCTGCACCCCTGAAGTCGCTCCAGACTGCACCTGGCAGTGACACAGGACATCCTGGGAAAGCCTGGGACCACGGGGCTCCCTCATTAACAGCTGTCTAAGATTCTGAGCCGGGAAGGCGGAGTGCTGCAGTGGTGCAGAAGAAACGCAGACCTGAGTGGCACGACTTCTTTTTTTTTTTTTGAGCAAGAGATTTTTGCTATAGGGCACATGCACTCACTGGAGAGAGACAGAAGCAAGAAATCAGCCCCGAGGAGGGATGGCCACAGTGCAATCCCTTCTCCTCCATTCTCCTCTCATGATTTTGGGCGGGCACCCACGCACACATGCCCAGCGTGTTTTAAGCAGCCAGGTCTAGGACTTGAACCGTGGTCGACTACATGGGAGTCCAGTGACATAGCCATTACGCTAACTGCTGGTCCAAATAACACAACTGTTAGGAGCACACGTCAGCTTGGAGTGTAACAGCGAGAACAAGCTCCGCTCTGCGTGGCTCCTTAGGCTCGTGCATGGAGCAGGTAGAGACCCCTGCACTCCGCAGGCGGCACCATCCGAGGCGTGTGACATCCACCTGGAAGGCCGCCCGCGCTGAGAAGCCACAGGAGGAACAGCGTCCATCTGCGTCTTCAGAAGACACGGCACCACGGGGGCTGTTAGTCAGGAGTGTTCGGAGTTACTTTTTATCTTCTCTATGGGTAACGGTGAGAGACAAGGGAAAACATCAAGCAGCACCAGTTTAGGGAGGGTTTTTTTTTTTTGCCATGGGACATTTGTGCTAGTGGGGGAGAGAGAGACACAGAGAGGGAAAGTGAGAAATTACCCACCAAGGGGATGGCATGCAGCAGTCCCTTCTCTGTTCTCCTGGGATTTGGGGCATGTGTACACATATCTGGTGTGATCTTCAAGCTGCTGGGTCGGGGACTCTAACCATGGTCTGCCATGTGGAAGTCCAGCACCTTAACCTCCACGCCACCTGCTCACTGAGATTCTTCTTCTCTCTCTCTCTCTCTCTTTTATGTGAAGAATTATTTACTTAATTTTATTTATTATTTTTAAATTTGACCAGAGAGAGACAGAGACAGAGACAGAGAGGAAAGTGAGAAAGCAAGCCACCAGGTCCGGGACTCGAACTGCGGTTGGCCATGTGGGAGTCCAGCACCTTAACCACCACACCACCTGCAGGCCCCAGGATTCCTCCTCTTAATGAAGAACCTCTCCCTGAAGGAATCTACAGCCCTGACCAAGAAGACATGCGAACTAAGAGACATGGCAGCTTCCAGAGCGGGGCGAGCAGTGCGAGGAGGCAGACAGAACAGGAAAACAGCTGTGCCTGGAGTCCACACTGGCGGACTTTGAGCTGCAACACCCATGAAGAGACAGCCCCAAGCTGATCCAGGGAGTCACAGTCCGAGGAACACAGTGCACGTGGCAGGGACCACGGGGCCTGCAGGGCAGCAGCTGGCTGGTGTACGTCTGGAAATCAAAAGCTAAGCTCCAGTTAGGGCGCGTGAATGTCTTCCTGCCTCACCTAAGACCGAACGCATGAAGACTGAGTGTGAAAAAAATGACAAATTGCAAATTATGCAAGAACAGCCAGGTTCTGCATATTCCTTAATATGCATGTTGGTCTGTCTGTGAATTGCAAATGTTTACCATTTGTCTCACCTTGAGTTACTGTTTTTATTATTAGTTTGCTATAGGCACATGTAGGGAGGAAGGGGGCTGTGGTGGTGAAAACGCACCCTCGGGGGATGGCCAATGCAGCAATCCCTTCTCTTCCACTTCCTCTAGGAAATTCAGGTACACATGCACACACACCCAGCATGTTTTCCAAGCTGCCAGGTCTGGGACTTGAACTGCACAGTCGGCCATGTGAGATCCAGCCGCCTTAACCCCCATGCCATCGGCTGGCCCAAAGATACCTTTTTCAGAACAGAAATGTTGCATTTGTGTGAAGACAGATTGATTCATCTTTTCTTTTTATGAGGCCTGGATATGCCTAAAATGGCTTCCTCATTCCGGGATAACAGAAAAGCTTTGCCCACATTTTCTTCCAGGCCTAATGTTTTCATTTAAATCTTTTTTCTTTTTTGAGAAAGATTTTCTGCTATAGGGCATGTGAGCTTGCCAGAAAGACAGAAAGCAAGAAATCTCCAGGGCAGGATAGCCACATCACAATCCCTTCTCCATTCTCCTCTCAGGATTTTGGGCACACACACAGACCTGGTGTGAGTTTCGAGCTGCCGAGCTCAGGACTTGAACAGCGTCGGCCATGTGGGAGTCCAGCACGTAACCGTTACGCCATCTGCTGGTCCTCCATTTAAATCTTTTGATCCACCTGAACTTCATATATTGTAAATAAAGATTTCTGCCTTGTTTCATTATTTTCCCCCCAAATGTCAGACACTGGTCCCAGTTCTGCTTACTGAATAACCCACTGTTCCCAGGACCCGAAATGCTCCCGTCGTCACTCAGGGATATGACCGCTCCTTTACCAGTAAGATGAACCCTGCCTTCTCAGTTCTGTGTCATGGGAATCCCGGCTCCCATCCTCACCCAGTACAAAGGAAGCAGATTCTCTCCTTCACACGTCCGTCCTAGGACTCTACCTCCACGGAGCCAGGGGCCTCTCCCCTAGGACTCTTTCCTGGACAAACGCCACCTACTCTCCAACCTTCCAGCGAAATCCTTGTTACACCGAAGTCCTTAAAGTGCCCCAGGCTCAGTGCACAGGCCGGCACTCCTCGGGTACACGCCCTGCAGTTCCCGGCTTAGCTGTCAAGTACACTTGTGTTGTTACTTTAGTGAACAGTCTGGCTTATAGAAGATGGCGGGGGGGGGGGTGTAATTTGTTTTTTTTGTTTGTTTGTTTGGTTTTGTTTTTTGCCAGAGAAATCCAGAGAGGGAAAGTAAGGAAGCACCGTCCAGGGCGGATGACCATGACACAACCCCTTCTCCTCCACTCTCCTTTCAGGATTTCGGGCGTGGATGCACGTGATCCCAGCGTGTTTTTCAAGTCTCCAGGCTTGGGACTTGAACTGTGCAGTTGGCCATGTGGGATTCAGCCGTCTTAACCCCCATGCCACCTGCCACCCAAGATGCTCCTTTTTAAAACAGTAATTATACTTATTACAACAGTTCAGACACCATAACAAATAAAAACTAAAAATTCTTAGAGGGACCAGCAAATGGTGAAATGGTTATGTTGTTGGACTCCCACACAGTCGGACACAGTATGAGTCCTAGACCCGGTGGCTTAAACTCACGCTAGGCACGTGTGTGCATGCCCAAAATCCTGAGAGGAGAATGGAGGAGAAGGGATCGTGGTGTGGCCACCTCCCCTGGGGGGTGATTTCTTGTTTTCTGTCTTTCTCTGGCAAATGCATATGCCCTGTAACAAAAATCTCTCGAAAAAAAATAATTTTTTAGTAATTTCATTCCCAGTTAACAATCTGGTGTGCACCTTTCAGAATGTTTTCCATGTGTATGTTTTCATTTCTTTTTTCACAAAAATGACATATTTTATGGTCAGTAATCTTTCCTCCCACTTTATGATTTGTCAAAGATATCTCTATTAATACAGAAGAGACTATAAATTTCTTTCCTTCCCTCCCTCCCTCCCTCTCTCCCTCTCTCCCTCCTTCCTTCCTCTTTCTTTCTCTCTCTCTCTGTTTCTCTCTTTCTTTCTCTTCCAGAAAGAGAAAGAGACACCACATAAAAATCAAGAAAACCACCCCACGGCAAACAGGCACTCTGCAACTCCTTTCCCATCCTCCCTTTCCTTGGGATTTTAGGCCAGCACATGTGGACTGGCATGTTTTCCTTTTCTTTCTTCTTTTTTTTTAATAATTTTATTTATTTATAATTTGACGCGAGAGAGAAAAGGTGAGAAAGTAAGCTGCCAGGCCCAGGACTCAAACCGTGGTCAGCCATGTGGGAATCCAGTGCCTTAACCACCACATCACCTGCTGGCCTCAGCCTAGCATGTTTTTCAAGACACCAGGTCCGGGATTTGAACTGCAGAGCTGGCCATGTGGGACCCAGCTGCCTTACCTACCACACATGAAGCCTGCCCCACGACCTAACTTCTAAGTCTCACAAGTTCCTGGGCCACAGACCAGCATCAGAGGGCAGTCCTGAAGACCCCACCTTCGAGGTTTTTCGGAGCAGGATCCACAGCCCTCGGCATCGCAGTCGGTTCTGGCTGTGTTGATGGCCACGCTGAGCCAGTCACCTGGAACACGGCGAGAGGGGTCATTAGCAGATGAAGCAAGAAGACACAGCAAAGACGAATCGAAGCAGGGGAAAACCTAACGAGGTAAGCGGCCCTCCTGAGTACCTGCTTAGGGAAAGGGGGAGAGTTACGACAATATGTCTGTTCTCAAAGTCGCTACAATGCTTGCATTTCTTATTCCATCTCTTTTTTAAAAGAGGTTTCTGCTACAGGTATGTGTGCTCACCAGAGAGACAGAGGGACAGAAAGTGAGAAATCGCTCCGGGGAATGGCCACACTGCAAGCCCTTCTCCTCCATCCTCCTCTTGGGATTTTGGGCACGTGTGCACATGTGCCTGGCATGAGTTTTGTGCTTTCTTTGGAGAGGTTTTTGCAATAGGACACATGTGCTCACCAGAAAGACAGAGAGACAGAGAGACAGAAAGCGAGAAATCACCCCCTAGGGGGGATGGCCACCCCGCAATCCCTTCACCATTCTCCTCTCGGGATCTTGGACACACATGCACATGCGCCCTGCGTGAGTTTAAGACACCAGGTCCGGGACTCCAACCACGGTCGACTACGTAAGAGTCCAGCAACGTAGCCATTACGCCAACTGTTGGTCCCCCTGGTGTGAGTTTGAAGCTGCTGGGTCAAAGCATGGCCGACTACATGGGAGTCCAGTGACTCCCTCTTCTGTATGAACCATTACACCGTATGCTGGTCCCTTATCTCCTGTTATTTATTTAATTTGAGAGGGGAGTCCACTTTTTCTTTTCTTTTTTTTTTTTTTTTTTTGGAGAGTTTTTTGCTATAGGGCACGTGCGCTTGCCAGAAAGAGACAGAGAGACAGAAAGCGAGAAATCACTCCCCGGGGGGATGGCCACGCCACAATCCCTTTTTCTCCATTCTTTTGGGATCTGGGGCATGAAACCATACATGCCTGGTGTGAGTTTTAAGCTACCAGGTCCGGGACTCGAACCAAAGTCAACTACGTGGGAATCCAGAGACATAACCATTACACCATCTCCCTCTTCTGTATTAAAACCATATGCCGGTCCCTTATCTCTTGTTTCTAAAGTAATATTTTTATCTTGGAGTACCTTTATATTTGCACAAGGTGCAAAACTGAGTTTCCACGTCCCCTCCACCCGACTTCCTCCTGGGCTAAGCTCCCTGTGGCCATCTGTCCACTAGGCAACTATCAGGGTGGGCACTGTTAGCCAAGCTCAGACTCGACTCGGATTCTGCCAGTTTTCCCGCCAGTGCCTTCTGTTCCAGGATCCCATGCAGGATCTTACACTGCACTTAGTCGCGTGAGTTTCAGTCTTCCCTTGTTTCCCACAGCCTTGACGCCTCTAGAGTACCGGTCAGGTATTCTGCAGAAGATCCCTCACTGTGCAGTTCCTCTCACGCCTTCTCATGATTAGGTCCGGGCTTGGAGGACAAACCCACAGAGGCGGTGCTGTCGCCTCACATCAGCGTGACTCACCACCGGGAGAGATCCCTGGCTGGGTGGGGATCCGCTGACCTAATCCCTGGCTGGGTGGGGATCCACGCTCCAGCCCTGGGAGGCGGGCCACCGAGTCAGCCCAGCCAACACTCAAGGGCACGGGAGCAAAGCGCCACCTCCTGGAGGGCAGAGCCCCTACACGTGAGACCTGGAATTCTAGAGGAAGACTGCGTGCCTTCTCCCCGCCCGTGTTCGCGTACTTAGTCGGTAACTTAATTTATAGCACTGAAATGTACCTGCAAACATTTGTTTTATCTCCCAGACTGTCATCTAATGCTGTGGCTACTAAGTTGTTGTCCAAGTTGCTCCTCCTTGGCTATCACAAGCTCTCTCAGGTCAGCTGCCGGGTCCCCTGGACAATGTCCCCATCCATTCTTTTCCCGCTCGTCCTCACTTACTAGCACCCCACGGTGCTCAGGCTCATCTGCCCCAGCAGCCTCTGCTTTAGGACCTCGTTTCCTTTCTTTTCTTTTTTTTTTTTTTTTTGAGAGTTTTTTGCTTTCGGGGGTCTTGGGTCACAAGAGACAGAAAGCGAGAAATCACCCCCCAGGGAGGATGGCCATGCCGCAATTAAGAAAGAAACCCTTGTGGGAAAAGCCACTGAGCTCCTGGAGTTTTGTCTTGGCATCACAACCTGGCTTATTTCCTTTCTTTTCTTTTTTTTTTTTTTTTGGAGAGTTTTTTGCTATAGGGCGCATGCGCTTGCCAGAAAGACAGAGAGACAGAAAGCGAGAAATCACCCCCCTAGAGGGGATAGCCATGCCACAATCCCTTCTCCTCTCGGGATCTTGGGCATGCATGCACACGAGCCCGGCGTGACTTTTAAGCCACCGGGTCCGGGACGTGAACCACAGTCGGCTACATGGGAGTCCAGCGACACAGCCATTATGCTAACTGCTGGTCCCAGGACCTCATTTCTCAAAAGGGAAGCCTCATCCTCGTGCTAGAGAATGGCATTTAGAAACCAAGACCTGGGAGCTGAGCGTGCTCATCATATGGGGTGTCACAGTGGCCAGAGCCAGGTAACCTGCACATGTGTGTGCTGATCTAGGTACACACATACTTCTGCCAACCTCTGCGTGTGTGTGTGGAGAGAGAGAGGGAGAGACAAAGAGAGAGAGAGACATACTAAAATAAACCCACGTTCACATTAATATCTCCAACTAATCCACAGCACACGGTTCCTCTTTCTCCTCTTTTTAGCCTGCTGTCTGTACCCCTAACGTTCCCCGCCCCAGTCACAGACACGCCGGAGCGGCTTCATGTTGAACAGGAGAACACAGCAGGCCTTAGCGTGTGTTTTCTGTTACCCTCTTTTTGGTAACGACTTCTGGTAACTACTGACTGCACCAATGACATATTTGTGCAAATTACAAGGTTTATCCACTTACACAACTTTACGTAACTTGAACTTGAAATTTAAAGAACGAATTGAGCAGTGGTTAAGCGAACAGCTCCCCCTCCCGACAGGCCTGGGAAGAAGGAAGCAGGGCCGCCTAAAGGACGCAGGGCTGGAAGCTAGAGGTCGGCCCAGGCTTCCTCAAGGGCCAGACGGTAACTACGGGCCTTCGCAGGCCTGGCCTTCCCCGGTCTGTGTCCTGGGACAAATCCACAGGGGGTGTGAGTGGTTGTCACAGCTGCTACCAGCTCGCGGAGGTGAGGACGACACTCCCAGCATTTACCGGTGGCTTGGCCTGTGCTGGGTGCTAAGGACTGTCACCCACGCCAACTCATGTACTTCCCACGACACCCTGAGAGATGTCCTTCACACACAGCGACATCAGGCACGGGGTTCCCGCCACTATTCCTACGGTCTCCACCGTGATTGGTTCCAAAGTTCTGAAGTGACCATGGTCAACACCTAGGGATTGTCTGTCAGCCTCCCGGCAGCTAGGGACAGCCGTGTGAGTAAATCCAGCCAACAGGACACAGCGGAATGAGGCATGCGACCTCGGGACTTCGTGTAAGGGGTTGGCACTAGCTTTCCTGGAGGGCCGCCCTCTCCCCGTCGGCTGGCAAGGGCCTGAAGCCGCAGCAGCCACTTCAGTTCGAGGCGCCTTTAGCTAGAAGCCACGGCCGAGAACAGCCAAGTTCTTCGTCGGTTGGCGCTGGGCCCCTGACCCCTGACCAGAACTGAGTCCTGCCTTTTGTAAGCGGCTACGTTTCAGGGTTCATGGTCCCAGCAGCTTAGCTTGTATTCCCGCAGAAACATTTAAAATCTGCGCCTTCCCTAACGGTCAGAGCAGCCTACTTTAAAACCATGTGAAGCGTGAACCATACCTCGGGAGAAACGTGAGAGGCAAAGAAGTCTTCCTCCTTCGGTGAAGGGGACGGAGGCGGGACCACACGGCGGGGGAGCCACAGCTAGGACAAAACACACAGCGGAGCTCAGCGCTTCCTGGGGCGGTGAGGGCCTCGGGCACACCCGCCCACCGCCGCCCCCTGCTGGAGGCCACTTCCTAAGGCCCGTACTTTCCACCACGATAAAATCAGCCCATGTCAGCGGGGGCTCTGAGCACATGTCAGCGAAGCAGCAGGCCAGAGAGTTTTGCTTCTGACCCTGCAGGTGCTGAGCGCCAGCCTTCCGACCACTTCTGCAAGGGAAAGCTCAAGGAGCCCCCCGTAAGCACGGCTCCAAGCTACAGCTGGTCCTCGCGCTTCTCGATTTTGTACTTGGAATTCGCCCACTGCTACATGCTACTTGTAACCCCGGGTCAGCACCACGGCGTTTTCAGGTCACTTCACATGTGTGAAGACTCTCACGGAGCCACCACAAGCGCGTGGCCAGAGCGAGTCCCCAGCTGAGGCTGAGCGCTCTGCCTCGCTCCAGTTCTCAGAAACGAGTGTGCAAACCATGTGCTTTCTGCAGGCAGTTTAATGCGCGGCTGGTCACGCTGCTGGGCCCCACTGACGATTTCCCTGCATAATGTGGCTGAGGAGCACTGGAGGGCTGCCTGGCGTCCCTACGTGCGTGAAGGCTGCGAGGACCTTACAGAGCGGACACGGGCGGGTGTTGGTGGAGCTTCAGGAAAATCCATGAGCCCGCGGCTGAGCATCGTGCTCCTGTGCCAACCATCTACGGGAACTAAGGATCTCGGGGAACGTCAGTTTACGTGGACCAGCGGGCCCAGTGTGGCCAGACACCCCTGGGAGCCCGGGCCTCTATCCCCTGGGAGCCAGTCTCAGCACTTAACTCCATGCCTGCAGAATGTACAAACCACCTCGAGGAGAGAGCCCACTGGACGTTGCTTACGCTGGTTCCCTGGAAGAGAGTCCAGGTGCAAAGTTCTACCACTCAGGGTAAAACCCACCTTTTCTGCAGAAGTGATGGCTCACCTACGGGGACCACCCGCCCTGCGGGGACTTACGTCCGTGCCGTGCTTCCGCGTGGCCTGGGAGGCCAGCGCCTTGACTCTCTCACGGTAGAGCTGGGCAGCGCGGCTGTTGTACTTGGCATTGGTGTCTGTGGTGGTACAGCCATGCTGATGGAAGAAGGAGGACTGCGGAGGAGAGAGCAGAGAAGGGGAGCGGAGCCTCAGCAACGGCGTGCCAGCCCTCGTGTCCTCTGGGGGAGCTCCGGGCCCTCTGCCCCCTCACGAGCCAGTGATTTCAGCCTGGGTGCCATGACATGCAAAGGTCTGGCCAACTCCAGGAGCTAGCTCACATTCTCCCTGGGCAGCACCAAGTGTCGTTACAGGCGGCAAGACAGGGGCAGGATAAAGCGAGTGTTCGAACGGTGATGAGACTGCTTTCAGCACCCTCGTGAGGGCCCGTATATACACATGAGCTATGGAACTCGCGCCTTAATTAAGTGCCTTCCGAAGACCTGTACGAGCAATCTTTCTTAACTCGATTTGATTAATAACGATACTGATTGGGACCAGCAGGTAGCATAATGGACTCCCATGCAAACAACCATGGTTTGAGTCCCGGACCAAGTGGCTTAAAACTCATGCCAGGCACGTGTGCATTCATGGCCCAAAATCCCAAGAGATGAAGGAGAAGGGATTGCAGCATGGCCATCCTCCCTTAGGGGCGACTTTTCACTTTCTGTCTCTCTTGTCTCTCTGGTCTCTCTGATGAATGTACACTCCTTGTAGCAAAAATCTTTCCAAAAAACAACAACAATGACACTGATCATTCGCAAGCGCCAGACCTTGTCCTGCGTTCTTTGCAGGCACCCTCGCACTAAGTCCTCCTAGCGACATTCTCTGAGAGTCACCCTACAGGTGGGGAAAATGAAGCACCAGAAGGTTCACACACTTGCCCGAAGTCACAGTGAGGGGCGCGTGTGCATCCCATCGGGCTCGCAGGCCTGCGTGCACAAGTGCCTCCTGTGTTTTAAGCCAGGATTTGAACCGCGGCCAGTCACATAGGACCCAGCTCCTATGTAAAGCCCTTAACCTGCACTACAGGGTCGGCCCTCCTGTGTTAACTGTCTCAAGGAACTTATCACTGTTCTGCCTTTTCTTTTTTAGAGGACTGTTTTTTTTTTTTGGAGAGATTTTCACTGTAGGGCGCGTGCGCTCGCCAGACAGACAGAGAGAGACATAGAGACAGAAAGCGAGAAATCACCCCCAGGGGGGATGGTCACGCCGCAATCCCTTCTCCTCCATTCTCCTCTCGGGATCTTTATCTATCTATCTATCTATCTATCTATCTATCTATATATATATGCTGTTAATATTCTGTTTATCAGGGACCAGTAAGTGGCATGATGGTTAAGGGTACTGAACTCTCACACGGCCAGCCGCAGTTCGAGTCCTGGACCTGATGGCTTGCTTTTTCTCTCTCTCTCTCTCTCATTCTGTCCCTCTCTGGTCAAATTAAAATAAACAAACAAATAAATAAATAAATTCAATAATTCAATAAAATAATTCTTTAATAAATATCATATCAAAATGTGTTGACAGATGTTCTTTTAAGAGAAATGATCATTTTAAACTGCTATATGCTGTGTCACACCTTTGAGATAGTTATCATAAATAGCAGTCTGATAGACTTCTGAGAAACTAATTTTGTTAGATTCAACATATCCCAAACTTCTCTGGTCATGAAGCTCTAAGTAATAAGTATTAATTTCCCATAAAGTAGGGAAATTAAATAGAACCTGCTTTAGAAATACCATAGAAGTCTGTATGTTTTAAGATATTATTTTCATAATTCAGTAATGAAAGAGAATATAATTATAAAAAGACAGGATTCATTAGTACATTATCCTTTACTGTAATAATTAGGCCATTTAATAGTCTAAGCTGGTAAAAATTATTTCACTTTTCATGTCAAATTACTAACACTGGGTTGTATTGTTCAAACATACCTTACTTAGTCTTTGTTAGATCTAGTTAAAATCTAGTTTGAATCCTAAGACTCCCAATATATGATAGATTACTCCCTTTAACTTTGTCCAAGCATTATCTTATTTTTTCTATTACTTTGGTAGGAGGATGACATTATTTACTTTAAATTCTATGGTGGTAAAAGTGCTTTTTGATTTGAAAGATTTTATTCTCTTCTAGTGTCATTTTACCTGAACTCCTATAGGATCAGTTTTATTTAGTGACATTTTATGTATAAGGTTAAAACTGAGATACTTCGATAAGTCGGAACAAACATTTGAGGCCATGAAGGTACCATATAATGTATGCTGATGGAATAATGTCTTTTAATAAATTATGCTTTGTGTACTAAATAATTTTGTATATAATATGTATCTTTCAAAACAGTTATTGAGGAAAAGACCTGTAGTTTAAAATTTTATAAATGTTCAGCTTGTATTATATATATTTTGATGGTTTAAGACCATGATTATACCTTATGGTATACTGACTACAAGAAATAACAGCTGGATTATCATACAAAGATGCCATGTTTTCTTTTTCTTTTTACTATATTCCTATGGGATAGAATAAAAAAAGAGTATTATTCCTTGGTCCAAATAGTAAAAGGGCCTCATAAAAATGTTAAATGGCATCATCAAAATCTCTGCAATTCCAACACATTGCTTTTTTCAGATAGATTATATTTTTCAAACATTATCCCTAGTCAGTGACAAAATCTGAGTAGACATACAATGATGCATTTTCTTGAAAGTGCCTAATTATTGGGTTATCAGAAAAGTCTTGATGCATTTTTGAAGAGAAAAACAGAAAAACACGTTGTGACTTTCCTGACAACCTAATATGTGCTTTTTGTTATTATGAAATAGTTTATGTATGTAGAGAATTCATTTTTATCGTTAAAATTAATAAAATTTATATGTTTAAAAATTTTATCTATATAACTTTAATTTATATATACAGTGTGACAAAAGGGATGCATTATTACTATAAATGTAATAATATTTTGTATTAAATATTGATCTACTGGGAGGCATACAATGAAGGAAATGTTTAATTTCTTCTCCTCAGTACCAAAAAGTAGAGCAAATGTTTTCATAATATATAAGGATAAATTATATTGTTCATATCTGTTTTGTAGTTTTCTTTTTTCTTTCTAATCATTTTGCCTATTGACTAGAGTATAGAAATTTTTTTTTTTTGGAGAGATTTTCACTGTAGGGCGCGTGCGCTCGCCAGACAGACAGAGAGAGACATAGAGACAGAAAGCGAGAAATCACCCCCAGGGGGGATGGTCACGCCGCAATCCCTTCTCCTCCATTCTCCTCTCGGGATCTTGGGCACACACGCACACGCGCCTGGCGTGAGTTTTAAGCCACCGGGTGCGGGACACGAACCACGGTCGACTACGTGGGAGTCCAGCGACATAGCCATTACGCTAACTGCTGGTTCCCTAGAGGACTGTTTTTTAAAAGAGATTTTTGCTATAGGTTATGTGTGCTTACCAGAGAGACAGAGAGACAGAAAGAGAGAAGTCACCCCCCAGGGGGAATGGCCACACCGCAATCCCTTCTCCATTCTCCTCTTGGGATTTTGGGCATGCACGCACATGCACCCAGCGTGGGTTTAAGCCACCAGATCGGGGACTCAAACCACAGTGGACTACATATAAGTCTAGCAACGTAACCATTACCATCTCCTGATCCCTAGAAGACTATTTTTAAAAATTTATTATTTTTTTTGTTTATTTGTTCATTATTTTTAAATTAGACCAGAAAGAGAGAGAAAAAGGGAAAGTGAGAAAGCAAGCCACCAGGTCCAGGACTCGAACCGTGGTCAGCCAGTGGGAGTTCAGCACCTGCTGGTCTCTATTTTTTTATTTTAAAAAATCTATCATTACCAGGGCTTGCAGGTGGCATAGTAGTTAAGATTTTGGACTCCCACATGGCTGACCGTGGTTCAAGTCCCTTCACTTTCCCTCTCTCTCTCTCTCTCACTCTGTCCCTTTCTGGTCAAATTAAAATATATAAATAAATAAACAAAATGATATAAAATAATTATTTTTAAAAAAATTATCCTTGGGAACCAGCAGTTAGAGTAATGGCTATGTCGCTGGACTCCCACGTAGTCGACCGCGGGTCGTGGCCGGGACCCGGTGGGCTAA